GCCCAGGAAAATATTTTATGCAGGAGCCAAAGACAACCCATGGGCATTCATCAGCACTGAGAGAAGGAACTAAACACACAAACAGGCTCACACTTTTCTGCAGCTCAGATTTATAGACAACTAATTACTTCGACGGCCATCTGAATTAAGCACCCTCTAGCTAACCAACTTGCAAACAGTTTATTGTTTTCTCAAGTGTTGTTACAACGTTGTGCAGCACTGTTCCGTTCCACAAGGAAATGTCCAATTGTTTCAAAATAGTTTCAAAAATCCACCTATTTATTGCTATTGGGAAACAGTTGTACAGGCCCTGCTCCCAGAACCGTATAAATTAAATTTTTGTACCAGAAAGAGAACAGCTAGTGAGATGGGAGGCTGAAGCAAAGTTGATAAGGAATAAAACGCACGTGTGTGTTGCCTCACTGTGGGTGTTTCCTCTGAAGTAAACCTCACATAGCCCAGAGAGAGCTTTACTCATCCCCTTTCCCCCTCTCTAGGGAGAAAACCGGTGACACACGCGCACGCAGGGCTGAGTAATGCCTCCCCTCGGACACAGCCGGCCTTGGAAGAACAAAAGACTCGCCTGGCATCCCACACAGAAGCCAGCCAGCCGAGGGCTGCAAGGCTGAACGCCTGGTGAGCCAACTGTTACACACGCAAGGCACGGCTGTGTCAAACATAGCCAGAGGAAAAGGCTTCTCCTCCAGAGCCCGGAACGGCAGGCGGGCGAGGCGTTTGCATCACACACCACGCTGGGAACCTGCTTCCTTTTGCAGCTGCCCTTTTATTTCCAGGCTCCTCTTTCCACCCACCCCGTGGGAAAAGGATCCCATCCGGCTGCAATCCACAAACCTTTGCAAAGAGCAAAGGCTCCATTGCAAGGCTCCCTTCAGGCCTTCTGAAGCTCCAGGCCCCACTCAAACGGCACGTTGCCCGGCCAGCAATGATGCCATCTCCGCTCTGGCTTCCTGCAAGCGGTGCCTTTGCCCGCTCGCCATGACAGAGGGCGGCCCCCTGGCCCGGGAGCCTCCCCCGTCCCCTGGGGTGCAGCCTGCTGGGCCACAGCCACTGCGGTCTGGGAGTGCCCAGCGCCCCCCCCACATACACAGCCCCCTCCTCCCTCCTCCTCTCCAACCTGCACCCAACACCTGCACGCCCCTCACCTGGCTCTGGCTCTTCCCCTGGCACAACCGCACCCGCGGGGACGTGCCAAGTTCCTCCTCCGCCTCCCTTCGCAGGCCCAGCGCCCCTTCCTCTCCCACCTGCCCGGCATGGGTGGGCAACGGTCCCTGCTCCCCCCACCCCCTTCTGCACGCGTGCCATCATCATCCACCGCGGCTCCTTCCATTGGCACAGGGGCATCGTCTTATTCCAAACGCCGCCCACCCGCCCACCCCCCCAGCCCCCGCCAGGTCCTGCCCGCAATTGTTTCTCGCAGGGTCACCTTCTGTGCCCTCCCGGCTCCCCCCTCCCCAAATCCACGCAACCCCCCAGCCCCTCTTTCCACGCCAACGCCCCCGCACGCGGCTCCCCGGAGAAATCCGCTGCCCTTCGCGGAGGCGGCCGGATCCCTTCCCGTGCCCGGCTAAACCTTCGGCCGGAGCTCTTCCCCGCCAGACGGAGCCTTTCCCCCACCCCTGCCCCAGCCCCGCCTTTGCAAACGACCCCTTTTCTTGCAGCGAGCGACACGCGTGTACGAGGGGGAGACGGTTCACAAGTGCAGCGCAAGCTTTGGGTCAGCGCCTCCCGAGGGGGCCCCCGATGACGCATACGGGGAAGACCCCCGAGGGGCAGCCCGGGCCAGGCGGACTCCAGGGTCAGGGAGGGGACCCCGCGGCTGCGGAGGAAGGGAGGGCTGGGGCCATGTGGGTCGGGCAGGAGGATGGGACTTGTAGTCCAGAGCCCGGTGGGGCTGGACGATCCCCCCCACCCGTCAAGGCGCTCGTGGCTAAGGGCAGATGAACCCAGGCCGGCGAGGGGCTATGGGAGCGGTAGTCCCGCCCGTTTCAAGAGCGCCACCCGGCTGCGCATTATGGGACCGGTAGTGCAGGCGTCCCGAGATCCGGCCGGCGCCCCCTCCACCTGCTGCCGCCCCCGGCGCCCCTCACCTGGCCCTCCGCTGCCGCCCAGCAGGCTTCCGCCGCCCCAGAAGAGCCTCCGCCGCCGCGCCCGACTCGCTCTGACTGGCCGACACGCGCCAGGACCGGCCGCCAGGGGGCGGGGGGCGGCGCCGGTACGCGCAAGCCCCGCCCCCGTCCCGCCCTCCGCCGACCGCGCCCGCGGGACGGGAGGCGCGGAAGGCCAATCGGCGCCCGGCGCGCCTCTCCAAGCGTCCAATCCCGACTGAGAAAGGGGTGGGATCCGCCGAAGCGAGCGGGGCGATTGGCTGCCGCGCGGCGATGGTTTCTCTTATGGAGCCTCTTTCCCTCTCGCGCAGGCGCGGCTACGCGCTTCGGCCGGCGAGGCGCCTGCTGTTTGTGGACGACACGCGCGCTACAGATTCTCACGTGCAGTTGGAGGCCGCTCTGGGATGGGTGAACCTCAGCGAGACATTACCCAGCCGTCTCAAAAGTGGCCAAGGTTCAAAATCACAGCCGTAGTGGGAGTCTTCGTAAGGCAACCCCCATCATCCCCAGCCCTGGCTGCTCTGGCAGGGGATGATGGGCTTTGCATTCCTGCAAATCTGGAAGAGAGCCGGTCCAGAAGAAGAGCTGAATCAATAAACCACATCCATTGAATAATAAATAAATATAACATGGTTCAAAGAACTCGGGTTGGTGTCATTTGTGAACACGCAAACACCCCAACGTTGGCCTGGAAAGGCCAACCAGACAAAACGCCCGGTCCTCCCAAAGCGAACGGCTTCCAAGGTGCTCTCCAGGACGGCAACTGGCGAGCAGATCATCCCAATTTTCTTTTTGATTCAGAATCTTAGAAGGCCAAATATCATTTGGGTTTATTCTCCGGGAAAGTTGTGGGTTTTTTGAAAAGAACTTCTTCCTTTTAAAAGTGAGCTTGATTGCCTATTGATCTGCTAGAAGCCTACAAAAGCCTTTGATGCTGCCTTGAGAAATAGCATTTTCTTTATCCAAAGAAAATGGACAATGAAGCACAGGTGTGTTTTTCCTCATGGCGTTCACTTTGTGACCAGAAAGGGGAGCTGCGGAATTGGAGAAAGAAAGAAGAAGAAAGCCGCAGGAGCATCTGGCTGACATTTTTCCAACAGAAAAGGCAGTTCCAGACAATCACTTCTGAGTAATATTACTACACATATCTTGTATACTAACCAAAGGTGACCAGAGAACGCCGTGACATCTCACCTGAGACGTCCCTTCAGCTGCCCATGGAAAGGCCGCTCATCACTACCAAGTGATGAAGCCTAGGTATCTTGAGCATGCCTACTGAAGCCATGCATTTTCACTTACTTCTTGCACAATACAAATAATCTGGCCTTTCACAATGTGTTTCTCTCCAGACCATCTGGACTTCAAACCTCCTTACTCCAAACCCAGCAAACAAGAGTGACTACGCTAAAGTCATGATTCTTTCAACCGCAACCAGAGTCAGGAGACCCTGCTGACCAAAGCAGTTATTATTTATTCCATGGTCCTCGCTGCACACCATGGATGTAACTCCTAGGAAACAAATGGCCTGAAGAAGCACTCCGTGAAAATCCAAATCACTTTTAGCTGGTATTTGAGGATCTGACATAATGCACAATCTTACCTGATTAGCATCCTCTGGGGCAGCCAGCAAAGGCTCCACCTCTGAAAGCCACCTTCATTCTAGGCTCTGCTCTCACCTTTTCTAGCAGGTGAAGCAGCCTTCTCGGCTGCCGGCTTCTGCTTTTCAAACGTCTTCTTCACATCTGCGACTTTCAGCGATTTTTCCTCCTCTTGTTGTTTTGTTCCCTTTCTTTGCTGCAGTGGCACAACAGGCTCGTCTCCCCAGGCTGCTTCTCTGGAAGCTTGGCAACTTTCACCAGAAGCCTGAGAAGGACACAGCAGCATCTCCAACATGCTTGGAGAAGACTTGGAGGTCTCCATAGGTCGGCCTTTGGTCTCAGGATTCTGCAAACTCTCTACCGGGCTACAGGAATCAAATCCCAGCTGGCCACAGAGACCCTCGTCTTCCTTGACCTCAAGGGAGGGCTTGCAGGCCTGCTTGAAGGGTTTCCTGGTCTGGGCAGAAACCAAATTGAGACTGAGAAGAGTGGACCTCTTTATCTCAAGGCTCTTGTCCACCGTGACGCTCTGAAACTCCCCTGGCTTTTCTTCACCTACGTGAAAGCTGTTGGGAGGCCAAGGGAGACCACCCGCCGTTTCTTCAATGACCACTCCTGGGCTCCTGGGAGTTTCTTCTTCCGGTTCTTGATTCCTCCGCACTGGGGAATTCTCCCTCTCTCCATTCTCCTTCCCCGCAGAAAAATCCAGCCAACTAAGGATCCCTGCCTTGTTTTCCTCACCAGGGGAGTTCAGCATGAGCCTGTTGACTTGCCTGTTTTCTGTTCCGCTGCCCTCCAAATCCGACCGTGATATCTGCCTCCCCAGGGCCCCCTGGGGAGCATCGGTCATCTCTCTGCTCCCACCTGTCACTTCTCTCTCCCAGCTTTGCTGGCGGCCAAAGTTATATATATGAACCAAGGGCCAACTGCGGTCTGTCATTTCCCTTTTCCTCTCAGATGCTGGAGAGTCAGAGGGGTGGAATCCCCCCTGGGTGGTGACAATGCTGAGTTCGGCTTCCTCCAGCCAGTACAAAAGAGCATTCACCTTCCTGCCTTCTTCTTCCAAGCATTTCTTTGGGAACACCTGCATCGCACCCGGCCCTTCTGGGCCCTTTCCCCACAGGTGCACACCTGCTCCTCCCTCCTCCGGGCTTCGGTTCAATTGTATTTCTCTTGTAGACACCTGAATGCAGCCCGTGGTGCCCCTTGCCGGGCAGCTGTCTCCAGCCTCCTGCTCCACCATTGAAGCCCAAGCGTTGTGTGGCATCTCGGAGGTCTTTCGGAAGTGAGAGGGCTGCTTGCTTTGTGTCCTCTTGCTGCTCTCCAGCAAGTGGGGCCTTTCTGCAGCTTCCATGCTCAGCAGGGGCCGGAACCCCTAGGCCAAATTCCTGTGCAGAGAAAACCCGAACAAGATCTGTGCCCCGTTGCCACTCTGTCAATTCTGCATTTTATAAAAAGCTAAGGGGAAGGCATGCACATTTTTAGAAAGCCTGTTAGAGGAGAATGATTAGCCTGACCAAAACAATTGCACCCAATAGTGGGACAAGAAATAATTGTTTTAAAAGGAAAGGTACGAGAGATTTTCCCCACCTGAACAGAAGCAGCCAGCTCCCACGTCTCGGCTGCAGAGCGTCCGTGCTGGAAGGATGAGCTGCAGATTCAAAAGCTCTCTGCTGTTTTCTCTTTCTGGAGAAAAAGGGTGGCAAGAAGTTTTTTTCTGGTAATTCCCAGCAACCTGCCTTTTTGGGCCCCAGCAGTGACGCTTCACAGCTCTTCTTTTGCATTCATTTATGGTCAAAAGAGGCTCTGCTCACCCACTTCCTAAGGAAGGGCACAAGAGATCAAAAGCAGATTGACACACCTTCGCTGGGAAGGTCTTCTTGCCCCATCCTGTCCCGTCCATGACGCTCCGGAAAAAGAGGCAGTTTTGGCCAGCAAGCGGAGGGGATGCTGATTCTATCTGTGGTGCTGGGATATGTAATTGTTAAGAGGATGGTTGTGACACGCCAGGCATTCTGGAAGTAAACAGAGTAGCCTTGTGAATCTCAGTCAATCTCTTTAAGGCACTCAACTTATCTTAGGTTCCGGCGGTCTCTGCTAATAATAAACTTCTCTCGCCTGAAGAGTGTTTTAAATAAGGATCTAAGTTTATATGCAGCCGGAGGTTTGGAGAAAGGCCGGACAATTTCAGCTAAATCAGAGCATCACTGCCCAGCTCCCATCTCACAGCAGGCTAAGCAGATGGACAGAGAGACCGTCTTCACTCTTTGCCTTTTATGGCTTGTTAGGTGTGAGGCACTGGACACCCTTCTCGGTTAGACTTCCCAAAAGGGCCAGCTGTGCCAAGGTCTCACACCAGCCTCTGGGTAGGGGAGGAGATGAGGAGGGACTTGGCTGCTGGGGGGGGACGGACAGTCCAATCTTCTGCCTTGGCCATCCCCGTCTGTGCCGGCTCCCCTGTCCTGCTTTTATAGTAACAAGCAGGACTGGCAAGGAAAGATGGCAGGGCTGCCCCAGGTCTGATTCAGCATCCCAGGAGAAAAAGGCAGCATTTAGAGTAGACCTTGCATAAGGATGAAGAGATTTTAGGAAGATAGAGCAAAGCAAAAATTTAAAAAAGGGGGGGGGGAAATAGAGCTGTTTCTCTCCGCATCCCCTTCCCTTTCTCCTGCTGTTCTGCTGTTTCTCTGGATCCCTGTCCTGAAGCCTTCCTCAACAGCAGAAAGGCTTGGCAGCCTTGGACTGCTGGAGAACATCTCAGCCCATCTCTGGAGGTTAAATCTTGTCCCAAAGACGCCAGGTACAGACCACAGAAAAGGCCGTGGGATATTCTTAGCAGGAGTGGGGGGGGGGTTTTCTGAAGCTGTAAGACTTTTGGGGGGGGGAGCGCCTCCAGATGAAATCCCCCACCCCATCAGCAGGAACCCTACGCTAGGAACTTCTCAGAGGGAAAGTTCTTCCCTTGCCGATTAACCAATGGTGGGATCTCCTTTAATTGCCGATTGTTGTCTGGCTTTACCATAGCAACCTTCATAACAGGATATAAACATCTGACGTCTGCGCCTTCCACAAAAAAAACCACAGCTGGCCAAAAGCTGGAACATGAGGCCGCCCCAGTTCTCCTAACAGCTAACGGGAAAACGTGTTTCTTCATCAACAGGAGGAGGAAAAAATAAGCCAAAGACGTGGAAGCTCAGCTCCCTTCTGTCTAGGGGGCTGCCTTGGGGAGGAGGTCAAGGGCTCCTGAATTTCAAAAAAGCATGTAATATTTTGTTCTCTTGTTTACAGGAGGAAGGGGTAGAAGAGATTTATTACTCATACTTCTGCTAAGGGCTATGGATTCATTTTCAGATGGAGGGAGTTAAAGGAGCAATTTCTCAAAGGAAGGGAAACTAGAGTCCTTCCACAAAGCAACTTTCATAGTGGGGAAAACCCTGATCTCTGCAAGGGATTGTTATTGCCCTACTAGGCTTCAGAAGATCTCATGGCTGCCGTCAAGTAGAGCAGGGGTCTCCAAACTTGGCCACTTTAAGACTTCTGGACTTCAACTCCCAAAATGCTCCTTGTTGCTAGGATGGAGCACAAGGCAAACTTTGGCACACGCAATGTTGTCCCTCCAAGATAAACATCTACCGGTTCTTTCCCTCCCGCAGGAGAACAATTCCAAGCAATCTCAAAAACTCATCGGCATAGAGGAAACAAGCGCTGACTGGTGGCCTTTAAAGGCAAAATTTGGGGAGATTTCTGGAGATGTCTCCCTCCATCCCTGAAATGGGGGGAAAAAAAGCTGACTCATCCTAAAGTCAAATCTATTGGATTAAAAAAAAAAGTCCTGCGATTTTCAAATATGAAGAGTACTAGTTGCTTTTTCTGGCTGCACACAATTCAAGGGAAACCCATGATGTGTCAAATACACACCCAACAAGTTCTACAAAAGTCACCAAGAAGGCGGGATGGTTGTGCCGCTGATTGCAAGTCGGATCAAAACCCTATAAATGCAATTTATGTTCAACTCGGCCAGTCTCAGAATAGAATCAATACTGGACCAGACATATTCAATCACAATTATTTTGTCCTTTCTTTTAAATCAGTTCAAAGTAGCCGTTGGCTAAAATTGGTTTTAGCATTTGGTTCCACCTGTCAAATCAGCGTCAAGAGACTCCAGAACCTTCTCTGAAATTCATCCCTTTCTGCAGCCCTGTGGAGTCTACCTTTCATTTTCTGTTTTTTTAGTGTCTTTCTACAAACAACTTACTGGAAGCGGAGGCTGCATAATTAATCCAACTACTGTGTAATGTGCCAAGAGAATTTGCTTGACTTGATTTTAATAACACCCCAAAACCTTTTCTGACAACTTCTCCATGGGCAAAGTTGAGTCTTCCACAATCTGATGCCCTTCGTAGGCTTTGGGCTACTGTGGTTTGTGGTTAAGCTGCCTTTGGATAATGGGCAATATTCCCCAACCTTGGCAATTTTAAGACATGCGGACTTCAACTTCCAGAATTCCCCAGCCAGCATGGGTTGATGGGTGTAGTAGTCCAAAATATCTAGAGGCAGAGGACAAGACCAACCCCACAGGATGTGTAAAAAAACATTATTAGGCACAGAGTTGTATTGACAGCACATCACAAACACCAGAAATCAAGTAGAACAAGTCTTTCACAGAGATATACAGTATTTGTAAACACTAGGCAAGGCACTCTTATTAGTTAAAAAAAAAATCACCAATATATGGAAAAACAGACAGGCTACCATTTTATGCATCAAACTTTTCCAGCTTCGGGGGGGGGGATCTGATTTCTGCGTGCTAGGTGAGCAATATTTCCTTGTGGCTTAAACAAATCTCTTTGTTTTTGTTTTTTCGAAGGATAACATGGAGTTGAGATAAAGTATCTAGGATGTCACTGTTCATTAAATAGGACAACAATCTTCCAGTGGTTAAAAAAAGGGGGGGAATTAAATGTTAGGGGACATTTTGCCCCATGCAATCAATTCTTCAAAGGTAATTCTCTGGAAAAGGAGAGAAATTGAACCTGAAAAGTTTATACATCACCCAGGTGTCTCGGAACTTAAGGATAACAAAATTATTTATCGTATCATTACAGTTAAAGGTGTGACATGAAAGGATTCCATTTCTGGACAGTCTCTTCTTACCAGCACTACAGCTTCTACTAACAATGGGCATTCAGGAAAACAGACCTTCATTTGAGGTTCAAACTACGCTATTTTGGTTTATAGGTAATAAACATGCCATATTCTGATTTATCCACAAAAGTGTTTAATGCCCCAGGAAACATACATTACTGATCCTACCTCACTTGGTAACATGACAATGAAATTTACAATTTTCAACGGGATCAGGGGAAACAGTAAACATCTCCTACATGTGACGGTTACAGCAGAAGGAAAGGAGAATCAGGAGCTCCCATCCAAGACCCCCAAACAAAACTATCAAGTCTGGAGGGAAAGTGACAGCCTTGCAGGCAACTGGTCAGTTCAGATGGGGATCCTGGCCAGCATATTCAGTCTGGCAATGGCTAGCAAAAATGCTTTCTCCCTGAAATACTGTCTTTTCAGGTGTGTTGAGTGAGCCACGAGGCCAGGGCTATAATCCTATTGACCTAGGACTATTTTTTCCTTCGAAAAAAAATCAGTTTCAGAGGAAGAACTTTGAAAAATCCTAACTACACACACGCAGAGGTGTCTGTCTGTGTATCTACGGTATGTAGATCTGAAAAACGGAGGTAGCGTTTGTGTCCCCTTTGGGTCCTTGCACAAGGGCCTCTTCAAGAGGAAGAGGAGCACTTGGATTGACCTTCCAAGCAAATCTCTGGGCTCTTTTGGAATTTTTTGGCATGGAAGGAAAGAATCCAGCCACGACACTGCCCGATAAAAGCCAAGAGGAGGCCGTGAGGGATGCCCAAGGGCCCGGCGCCTTCTCCTTGGGCCGCTCGCCTTGTCCCTCCTCTGCTGCCACTGTGCTTGAAGGACCACCTGAGAAGTGCAAGGCAACTCTCTTTTTTTCAACAAGATAAAATTGCATTTGATACAGGCGAGACTAAAAGTAACCATTAAAAAAGCAACACTGCAAAAGTGTCAGCTTTTTCCCATCCGGGGTGTGTGCTTCAGCTTCCCCAGGGTCCCCTTTGCTGAGGGCTGCAGTCCGTCTTCCGTGTTCTTCCAGGAGAGGAGGCTGCAAAGGGCTGGAGACTCGCTCGACATGGCCTCCCTCAGGTGGGTCAAGGGCGATAGGTCCGCCTCGCCCGTGAGGTCCTCGGAGGCCAGGTCGAGGCTGCCCAGCTTGGCCAGAGAGTTGGAGCGCTTCAGCGGAGAGGAGACAGTCAAGCCGGCCAGCCGCAGCCGGGTTTCAATCTCCTGCGTCCGCTGTTTCACCAGCCCGGGCTTCCCATGGATGCTGTGGATGCTGTCACTGCTGGAACTCCGAGTGAGGTTGGAACTCCGAGAAGAGGACGGGGTGTAGGAGATGGTCTTCAGGAAGTCCTTTGTGAAGGTACTCATGTGGTCCACCTTGGAGGGGACGGGCGTGGAGGTCTTCTGGGAGGCTCCAGCAGCAAGAAGGGTCTTTGGGAGCTTCTCTGAGACATCCTGCGATGAGGGCTGCAGTTGACCCCCGACCACAACCATCTCCTGGGGCTCCTCTTCCAAGATAGTCACAACGTCGGTTGGGCCTCCGTAACACTCCTTGCCCAGCCCGGCTGTGTCGGACAGCGGGGCCTTGAGGCGCTCCAGTTCCTTCGTGTGCTTGCGGACCAAACCAGCTTTCTGGAGCTGAAGAAGAGACTCCTGATGCTGCATCAGGTAACTGTTTGTGGTTGGCTTCTCCAAATCTTTGTTGAAGAGCAAGTACTTCAGGTCCTTTGTCTGCCGGGCATCTTTTCTTGGAGAAGAGTCACGCTTCAGCCCGTGGTTGAAGACCGGGCTTCTCTCACAGAGAGAATGTCTTGAGCCAAGCGAGGCACCTCCTGCGGTTTTAGGGGCCTCCCTGGGCTTTTCAGAAGGGCCACAGGGCCACCCTGAAGCTGGTTGATCAGGACTGACGTCCTGCACCTCATTTCCCACAACCATCGGGAGCAAACTGTTGGCTCTCGGTCCCTGGGATTCCTTCAGAGGAGACTTGCAGAAGGCCTGCTCCAGAAACACTGGGAAGGAGGGCTGGGTGCAGATGGTGGCACGGTGGCAAGGGGGCTCCGCTGGCAGGACCTCCAGGGCATCCCTGAAGGCTTCAGGAGGGGACCCACCCAAGGGATACATGCAGTCAGTGCAAGATTTGTAGGGGGGGCTGACTTTGTTGAGGATGCCGAACAGGGCTTCATGCTGGAAGGGAGAAAAGAGAGGATGAAAGGAAGTAGAAACACTTCTCCACCCCGTCCTTGGAGAGAAGGAGAAGGACCTTCCTCAAAGGAAAAGGGCCCAGCCAGGTGGGCTGGGCCCTCTGGACAAGGAAGAACTCAAAATAAGCCTTGGTGGTCAAGAGGGGGACCAGACCCTGGGGCCCCAAGACCCTCCCCCCAAAACAGACCCGGCCAAGCTCAGTCCTGCCCTTACTTCAAAGTCATCCGGGCAGCTCCTCTTACTGTGTTGTTATTCAGGTTCTCGCAGTTGTGCCTGCCCTCCTCTTCGAGCGACCGCCGCTTCCATCGTTCGGTGGGCTTCTCCTCCTCAGAGACTGGCAGCCGAGGAACTGCCTCGGGTTTCTGGTGGCCCTGGGGGTCTGCGCTGACCTCCAGCATTCCTGCCTGCAGCTGGCCCAGCAGGTCCCTGGTGGCAGAGCCGGCCTCCTCCAGCATAGCATCTGCCTCCAGGTCCTCCAGCTGCAGACACGGCTCCCGGGGGGCCGGCAAGGAGTTGGAGAGGCGCCGCAAGCAGTAGTGGAGGCCCACCGAGTCGAGGGGTGTTCGGCGGTCTGTGCAGATGGGGGGGGCGGGAGGGTCCAGGTCCATGTCCTCCAGGCTACCGAGCAGGAGATCATTGGGCCCAGCAGGGCTTTCTGCCCTGGGGGGGAGGCCGCCTCCCGGCTGCTGTTTCCAGAGCTTGTTGTGGCGCTGTTTGCTGGGTGGGGAAAAAGAGAGGGGAGGAACGTCCAGGGCAACGCAGAGGCTTTGTCTCCATCGTTCAGGTCTGGTTGTCCCAAAGGGGCTTTTTCTTCCAAAAGGCAACTGGACTTTCTTTGAAAAGGTTTCTCTTCTCGTCCAAGAAGTTTCTTCGGGATTTTCAAAGGAAAAAACAAGAAAGTCCAGTTGCCTTTTGGGGAAAGCATCTTTGGGACCCAGAGGTTTTGCATTCAGAGGGCCAGCTCAGCGGCTGCAAGAGCAAGGGGCAAAAGAATGCGGGAAGGACTGGGGAGGAAAGGGGATTGGACGGCCAGTGGGAATAGCCTTGGGAGATGGAAGAACTTCGGCAACAGTCAGATAAGCAGCAGTTCAGTCCACAGCAGGAATGGAGGCCGAAAAAGTAATCCTTCTCTCGAAGAAGTTCATTTCTGAGCTCAGGAACCCGACTTCTAAGGCAGGAGGCCAAGGGAGAGTGTGGCCCAACCCTTCCCCTGCCCTCCCCCCTCCCCCAGGGAGAGCCACCTTACCTGGCATCCAGGATACCCTGATATTCCAGCAGCTGCCTCATGAACCCGGCGTTGGGCCGAGCGATGCTGCGCTTCTGCCTGACGTAACTGTAGGCTTTCTCCAGGGACCATCCAAACTCCTTCATAGCGTAGGCAATGACCGTTGACGCGGAGCGGCTCACGCCCATCTTGCAGTGAACCAGACACTTGGAGTGGTTTTTCCTGGGAAAGAAGAGGGATTAGAAAGGGTCAGGACCCAGGATGGGGTCCTCAAGCACCCAGGCCCTCCTTTTATATCTCACCTCCCCTGTGCCAAGGCTGCGTGAAGAGGCTTTGGTGCAGCCCCCAATATTTAATTTACAGCCACACTGCAAATGGCCCTACTTGCAGAGACAGCGGGAAGGGACTAGAATAAGGGTGTCCATCCTTGGCAACTTTAAGATTTGTGGATTTCAATTTCCAGAACTGCCCAGCAAGCACTAGCTGGGGAATTCTGGGAGATGAAGTCCACAAGTCTTAGAGATGCTGAAGATGGACACCACTTGGTCAAAATGTCCATCTTTAGCTGCAGGACGCCTCAGATTGCCCAGTCTTGGAGGCAAGCCGTTCCCAGAGGCACCGCATAGCCTTCTGGGGAAGGTTGTCCTGGTCGCTTCAGACCAGGGAAATGCAGGCCAGCAGCGTCGCTTCCAGAAACTCACTTGGCTTTGTTGATAAAATGGTAAGCCTCGTTCCAGTGGGCGAGAAGATCGGTCGTTTCTTCATCATAGACGCGGATGTTGTGGTACGCAAACAACCCCGGGAAGAAGTTGTCGATCTCCCTGGTGACGTTTAAAATGTAGTCCACGCTGAAAGGATGGAAACAGATGGATCAGCAGGGGAAGGGAAGAAACTGCGGCATCTCGGTGAAGAAGAAAGGGCCATTAATAAATCAATACAACTCAGCCCAACCTTATATATTGAACCTTGCATCTGAGCTGATAAATTTCTGCCCATCTTTAAAAGCAGACAGACCAAGAAACAGGCTCACTGAAAAGCTAAAAATTATGTCTAAAATTATTGAGACACGATTGATTGAGGCTGACTTAGAAACACCTCACACATCTGATGGTGCTTCCTCTCTTCCCTTGTCTACACTCACGTGAATTGGGAGACATTTTCATAATATTTTAATGTTTTTTAGGGTTTTAACGGTCTTCGTAGTTCTTATTGTCTTAAACCAGTGGTTCTCAACCTGTGGGTCGGGACCCCATTTGGGGTCGAACGACCATTTCACGGGGGTCGCCAAACAACGCAGTCCGCCATTTTTTCCCGCTTTTCCTTAGCTGTGCTACTCCCTCTTATTCTATTGGCTTTTGAAAGCCAATAGAATAGACTCTCTTGAATAGAGTCTAATTCTATTGGCTTTCAAAAGCCAATAGGAATTGTCCAGGCTGTCTCTGCCCTGCTGAGCCCGCCAAAAGTCCCATTCTGCAAACGGTGCTGCACCAGTTGAGTAGTCCTCGACTTACGACTGGTTGGGGGTCGCTGCATTAAAAAGGTTGAGAACCACTGTCTTAAACTGTTTTTAAGATTTTAATTGTAATATATGTTACTGAACTGCGAGCCACTCAGAGTCGTCTGCTGAGATGGGCAGCTGTAGAAATCCAATAAAGAAATAATAACTCCCCTCAAGATCTTCCCTCCTTCTGCCAAGGTCATCCACGTTACAATTTCTGGCCCAGTATTCTCCATCTGTGGAGGCTTCTCCCGTGCAGGAGGTTCAGCTGTCCATCGCACAGGGGGGCGAAGTACATGAATTCAACTCTGTACAATGTGCAGCAGACCCAGGGACCCTCTTTCCCTTTGCCGTCTGGTCTTTTTCAACCTTTGCCATCTGAGATTCTGCAGTCACTGGCCTAGACACCCCTGAACAGGTCAACGCAGCTGGGTCAAACTCACCCGGAGCCCTGAAGCTCCTCCAGGTTCGAGGCGTTCCATTCAGAGCCCTGGAAGAATCACAGCAGAGTCAGGCAATGGTGCCCTGGGGGGAGGGGGGGGGCTCCTAAGGGAGCTCTGCCACGCATTGATGCGTACCAGGTAGAGGTGATCAAAGATGAGGGAGGGCTTGTCCATCTGCCCCAGGATGAGAAGCATCTCATTGTCAATGAATTCCTTGAATTCTTTCAAGTTGCAGTTCATCTGCTTCTCCAGCTCGTTCCGGATCTGCCGAGAGAGGCACACTGAGGAATCAGCTTTAGTAAAGGAACCCCCCGCCCCGAGTCCTCGGGCTCTTGGACTAACTTCTTTGGAAGTCACGTTCTCCAGATCTTCGCTCATCATGATGCTCCGGAGTTTGGCCTTGATCAACCATTCTGCCCTTTCCCGCTCAGTTGGCCTGGAAGGGAGGAAGGGAGGCGGGAGTTGCCGCGGGCTGCAAATCCAGACAGCTACCTTCCAAGAAAGCATTTGCAGATTTCCCCAAGATAACAGCAAGCTGGGACAAATGGTGAGCTTTTGTGCCCCCTTCTTGCTGAGGGTTCATCCAAAAACAGTTGGGATTCCACAGAGAAGCATCCCAAAAGCTGTTTAACCAAAAGTGAGTAATGGTTAGGGTAGGCGACTTCTGAAATACTGAACAAGGATGGTGAGAGACCCACAACTAAGCACCTGATTCTCTCCAACACAACACAACCTCTGGAATGCCTGGTGCCCACGCATATATATCCTACACTCCAAATAAAGGGTAGGCCTGGGTCTTAGCAGAAAGAGGCTTGCAACTACAGATGCATCTTGACCAATAAAGCCAGCCCAAAATTGTCCGGGTCTGCCTGAACATCTCAGCCCTTGTTTGAAGAAGAAGCAAATTGGTGATGCTCAGGATGCTGTGGGAAACTCAACTCCAAAGCCAACCTCTACTAGAAACTCCAGGTAGATGTTCCTCAACATCCTACCTAGTGCCCTTCCTTTGTTTCTCATCATCCCACTTTGGAGTAAGGCAAGGAGGGACACCCGTTTTCTAAAAGGCCAATGGGGGACAATCCTTCTCTGCCCAGAAGGTCCTAGCAAAGCAAAAATGGGAGGAACCCACTTGTCCATGTAGAGTGCAGGCGAGTCGGGGCGTGGAGACTCCAGGTCCTGCATGGCGTTCCACTCGTTGAGGCAACTCTGCTCGGAAGCAATGCAGCTCTCATAGTAGGTGGCCCAGACAAGCGCCATCCCCCCTGGAAAGTAGTTGTGCCTCCGCGCCATCTCGCAAGCCTTGTGAAGGATCTGTAAGGCAGACCTACAAGTGGGGAAACCCAAAGAGATATCCCTCAGCCCCAGCACCCGAGCAGAAAAAGGGCCGGTCAAGCGGGCATCACAGAGGGCAGTGGCTGAATCAGCAGGTCCATCAGAGCCCTCTTGCTCACTGCAAGCCCAAAAGCGCTGCTGATGTTGGCCAAGGACCATCTGGGTCCCTGTGATGGCAGCCGAAAATTGGCTTCAGCCTTTGGGGAGGAAGGAGAAGGAGAGGAAAACAGGAAGTTGCTCACCACATGGCTTGCACCGAGACAGGTTTGAAGATGTGCATCTTGCCCGCCGTGCTGATGCTAAACCCACTATCAGAGACAGACAAAAATCAATGCAACGCACACAGGCCAGGCTGTGGCTCTTCACAGGTAACTCACTAACTCTTTGCACAAGGGGCCAAATCCCCTGTCCCCTCCAGGAACTGATCACAACAGCCTTGTCCCCACCAGCTTGGCTGTCCTCTGCCAGCTCTCCAGATCCTCCTGTTTCTTACCCGTCTCCATCCAGGTGGATTTTCGTATCGCTCCACAGGCGCAGCACCATCCCAATGGTACAACTCTGGCTGCCATAAAAGACAACAGGGAAGGTCCAGGCTGCTGGCTGGGCAGAACGGTGGGGGAGCCAGCCTGCTCTTCAAGCATCCCCAGGCATTCCCCCTCACCTCTCCTTGCTGGAAAAGTCCACGCCCAGGAGAATGTTCTCCTCAGTGTCTTGGCGCCCGGTGCTGTAGACCACCACCATGTACCTCACACGGTCGCTCCACGCACTTTCTAAGAGCACGGCCTAAAAACCAGCAAGGCAGTTCTCAGCATTCATCCCTTTGGCCATACCTCTCTTTAGCTAGGTATTACTTTAGCTAGGTATGTTTCTGGCAAGACAAAAAGAAGAGGGTTTAATTCAATTCTCTCCAACCCACCTGGTGCCCTCTAAATATACGTTGGGCCGCATCTCATACAGTCTTCCAGGCAGCACTAGGTGGGGTAGTTGGGAACTATGGGAGTTCTGATCCAACACCCCTATGGGGCACCAGCCTACATTCTTCAGGTCTAGAGAGATCTCAGTGAAGGTAGAGGAAGGCTGGACTACAATATCTGATTTCTGGAGTCCAAGGGCACTCATCATTGATGGCTAAAATCAGATGATGGTTAGGGATACCCTGCTTCCAACTCTACTTTGATTGACAGGAATAGTTTTCTCTTCACAGGTCTACTCCGTGCTCCCAAGCAACTCCTTCCACAAAGGACTGATCTACTGGGAAAAGACCACTGCTGCAGGGGGACCGTGGCAAGGGATTATACCACCGCAAGGCTCTGGCAAGTCCTCTTACCAGCTTGATTCTGTCCTCACAGCGAAGGAGGTTGATCATCACCTGAAGGTGCTGAGGCAAATCACCTGTGGATGTACAGACAGCAAAATCATCAGATGCACCTCCTAAATTTGCTTTGCTGCATCATCTGACAGAGCGCTCCTCCACTGTCCATCCTCCATGACAGTTTCTCAACGTAGGCAACGTGAAGATAGATGGACTTCAACTCCAGCTGGGTGAAGAATTCTATGAGTTGAAGTCCACCATCTTAAAATTGCCCAGATTGAGGAACACTATTGAATGATCTACCATGACTCTCAGAAAACATTAAGAGTCATAAAGCTACGTTGCTTTTGCTGCTCATTGTTTCAGATCTCTCTGAAGCCTCCTTAACCAGCCATCCTTAGGCTTCACAAGAACTTCCTGAGGGCCAAGCATAGATTTAGGACAGCAGAAGAGATCCTTGGTCTCCAGGTAGGAATGCTTCCAAAACGTCTCCAGAACATCCTGGGTGGGGACAGGATGGGACAAGTGGAAATAGAAAGTATGGACTCCACTATCTTATCTTCCTAATTTAATGTCCTCCAGAGGGCAGTAGTTGAACAAAGACTAGCTTGGGCCTTGCTTAGCTTGCTTGGCCCCACATCAAAATCCAATCTGGAGCCATCACCCCATATCCCCGAGACGTCTCTGGCACTTAGCAATTCCCTAAATAGTCACACTTCCATCTCACCCTTCAGGGTTGATGGCCAATCATAATGGTCAATCTGAGTGCATTTTGAGAGACCTTCTCGGTACCCTCTGTAGCCACTGAACAAGATACGGGTCTTCCGGTAAGAACTGCCAAGCTGAACCCAGAAGCTTCACTACCCGCGATACTGGATCCCATCCTCCAATCTCCTCCTTCCTCTTGGAAGAACCAAACGGGAACCATTCAAAGCCTTTTGCTTCCCAGGAGGCCCACCGTCGCTTACCACCTTTCCCCTCCCCACCGGCGTTTCCTAAACTGATTCTACCCAAGTTACCAGGAGAGGCTGAGGGAACATTACCTGCATGTTTGTGGGGATGTGGGAGACTCCGTGGTGGACCTTGTGGACTGTTTCCTTGCTGCAGGAATAGCGCAGCTCCTTTGACCATAAAAAAGCTCTCACTTAAGCTGCAATACAAACAGGCAGAGCAGCAGGTCAGGCGGGGAGATGCGTGGAAGCCGTGTGGACAGACTGACTCCTGGGCAACAGTTTCAAACTTTCTAGGAAGGAAAAGTTGCCTTGAGGTTCAGCTCCATCTTGGTGCCTCCAAAGACAAGACTAGGTCATTTTCTTGGACGCCATGCCCAGTTGTCTTTCTCAGAAGGATTTTTTGGATTCCCAATGTAGCCCACAGCCTAATATTTGCTAACAGTCTCCCCTCCAAGTATTAACCAGGCAAGTCCCTGCTTAGCTTTCTCTACAAGCAGCTACATCTAGGGTGGCCAAATGGAACTACTAGCCGATTCCACCAGCCAACCAGATCCAGGTGGGAAAGAGAGCAGCCCACTTGCCAGACTGAATGAGATGCAATCCTTGCTCCAGCTTGTTCCTGTCACAAGCACATGCAAACCAAGGCTAGATTTACTTTCCAGTTTTAGTTTTTTCAGGCTAGAAAACTGATAAATGGTAATGTAATCGCCAAATAAATATCGCAAAACAAGTTTTCCTTCTTCCTCAACGTGAAAAGGAAGGATCCCTGCTCTGCCCTCTCTTGGTCAAAGAGCCGGTGGCTGCTCCTTTCAGCGGTTCTGCTAATGTTAGGACACAATTAGTGGGACCAAAGGATTGTGCCTGATCACTTCCACACACTGCAGGCCTTGTTCCGGAGCCAAAAGCCTCCGGCACCAAGCCAAGCTCTGAGCAAATGACTAACTGCTTGTCAGAGGGGGGATGAGGAGGCTTCACTGCTAGCAAAGGATTTCATAAAGGCATCTGGGTTCCCGTCAAAAGCAGACAGAGTAATTTTCCATCGGGGCTAGATGTTGGTCTGCTTCGGGAGGTGTGCCTACAAGAGTTTTGGAGGAAAAAGATAACAGCCTTCCCATAGAATTGTGTAATGACCCTGAGCTATCAGATTCCACGAGGGAGATTACTTCTTAATACGATTTTTTAAAATGTTTATCCCTCTCAGCACGTTCAGCTCCATGGGGATTTATAAAGAGCCTTCCAGATTGGGCTTGCAGGCGGGAAGAAGTTGCATCCAACCTGGAAAATTCACTGGAAACATTTGCCAAAGCAGCCCCACAGGCAGGATTTGGACTTTCAGGAGAATGGGGTTCTTCCGCATGTTTTCTAAGGCTGGCCCCAGAAAAGCTGCAAGGGAATGAGCAATTTGGCCTTTTAAAGGGTATGGAAACATGGTTTTAGCCCCGGACAGGAAACTGGTCCCAACTAACGCAGACTGATAGCAACAGTCAAAGGATAATTTGGAGGGTATTTGTCCAGGCCCCCAATTCTTTAAAGCAGAAGTGTCCAAGCTTGGCAACTTTAAGACTTGAGAACTTTAACTGCCAGAATTCCCCAGCCTGCATGAGTGTCTGGATTTTGACTTTCATTCAAATATGGTCAGTCTACCCTATTTGGAGTCTAGCAATAAGCCTTAAGAACTACCTTACTAGCAAAGGAGGACAGCTGCACTCACCTGATTAAACAGGTGTACTCAACACCCCCCCTCAGGAGCTGCTATTCCTACCTGGCAATGTAACCAATTGAATCTGTGCAAGATCCCATCAAGTCTACATTGCTGGGCTGCTAGTGGACCAAGCCTTTTATCTGATTAACAGTCCTGAACCTCAAATGTCAAACATGACTTTATTCACAGCCCCAGGCTGAAAAAAGTCAGAATGGACCTCGAGGTCAGTGTGCAATGGGTGACACTGATGTGAAGTCCAAGAAAATACACAAAGGGCTTGTGAAGTCTGACAGAACACCTTTCCCGGCATTTCCTGCCACTCGGAGACCAACTACACACAATTCCTGTTTGTGATCCAAGGGAGAGGAATGACTAACTGCCCATAATCTTGACCACGGCACAGGCTGAAGTGAGATCATCCCACAGCCACCAGCTCAAGCAAAGGAAAGCCCACTCCCACACTCCCTTCTGTGGCCGAGTATTCAACAAATAGGACAAAGGATTGGTCAAAGAATCTGTTAGCAACAAGAAATGTAAAAAAGGGGGGGCACCCACTCCCCGTCCTTCAGGGGTGACCTCAGCAATCAACCACAGGATCCTCTCCATAACAGGAGTCCAGCCACCTATTTGGCCTTAAGCCCAATAAAGAGAAACAACCACTAAAAGCCAGCTTTGTTTCTATATCACAGCTCTAAACCTCAAAGATTTCTACATCTCGGTCGGTTTGTAAACTGCCCAAGAAACAGCCGTTTCCGCAGCTGAATTCCCACCAGCTCAGGTGAGACTCAGGGCTAAGAACATGTGGGGAAACACAGCTCATCCCCAAGGAGGAGGCCTCAAGACCTTCTGAAGGTCTCGGACGCTACCCAAGCTGCAGGAGCCGCAGGAGCAGGAAGGACGCGGGATACATACGGCTTTGGATGGGGCTTCTTTAAGCAGCCGAAACACCGTGTGGCCCCAAAGGACAGGCAGAAGGTAGCAAAGTCAGATAGGTTCATAACCGACTCTTCAAGTCATCGTGCTGAGAGGTTCTTGACATTTCTTGGTGGGAATCAAAAAGCCAACCGATCCTTCTGCGCGAAGGAGGGAGGAATCTCCACGTCTCTCGGGAATGGATGGCTTTTACAGAGCCCTGCCCCCTTCCCCCCACGGAATCTCGGCCCCAAACACGAGCGAGGACCTGTCCTCGTCCACCCTGATGAAAGAAGGCTTTCAGGAGGAAAGGGGGCCTGGGCAATGCTCGTTGAGAGCCCTCCCCTCCCACCACCTTTGCTGGTTCGCAGCCGCTGAAGTCCTTTGCTTCACTGGCTGGACAGATCCTCTTGGCTGACCTTGGGAGAGTCAAGGGGGCCAGCCTGGTGGACGAAGGGCTGGCGTTCCTCACCGCCCACATCAGGACTCGCATGAGGTCCTGGGAGAGTAAGACCATCCTGGGGAATCGGATTAGGGTCCAATTTCAGTGGGCAGCATTTGAGAAGCAGACAGATGGAGACGAGACAGCTTGGAACCAGCTATTATACAAGACTTTTCCATGGAAAATGAAAGTCTTCCTAGATCTCCTGAGCTCCCTGCACTGGCAACGAGGATGGCAGCTGCTCCCAGTGTCTCAGAAGGGCCCAGGGGTGACATTTGGGTCATGAATTGTTCAGTTTGAATTCACTACCGTCCAACCAAAAGTTTAGCAGTGGACCATCTTCATTTCACATGCTGGTGGGAGGAGAAATTGAGACCCCCAAAGCAGGTTTTACTCCTCCCAACCCTCCTCCTCCCTGAACCCCTCCCTCCAAAAACTGGGAGCCATTCTGGGGTCTGGCCACCTCCCCTTCTGACCGTCTGATGGCCAAGGCTGGCCACCAGGAAAAGGAGAGGACATGCGAAACAGGCCATCTCAGCCACTTGCGAAACAGAAAAGCTAAAGCAGCCTAAACCAGCAGATGTCCCCCGATGTGCTACCACTCCCCAAAAGTCTGGCTGAGGGTTCTGGGTGTTGTAGTCCTAGTACAAGGCGCAGCGAACAAGTTTGCACCAATGCCACTGAGACGGAACGCAGAGGGTGATGGAGCATTTGCACTCCGATAATATTAAGGCCGTGCATAGATTTCTACCTACGGAAACGTTCAGGAGGGAGGGAATGGAGAACGGGGCACCTAAAGTGCTTTGGGACCCTCTGAGATACCGTACTAGTTCTACTTCTCTCAATCCATTACAGACTAATGAGGAGATGCGCAAAGGCCTCTCCTGCCCCTCAGCTGTTTGGAGAGAGGTCCCCAGCCCTGGAGGGCTCACAGGGCCTCCTTCCCAGCTGAGGAAGCATGGAAAGCCGCACCTAACTGGAGCTGCAGAGGGAAATTAAGGCACTGGAATGGAATCGCAGAGCTGGCTCTGAACCCCACAGAGCCAGCCAAAGCCCCCTTGTGAGGTCCCCAAGGCCCCTGGCAGGTTTGTGCTTGGAGGTCTGCTTCTTTCAGAGAAAGTTGGCGTTCTAAGGAGAACACGTTCCGTACGTCCCTCCTTCAGGTCTCCAGCCCTGCTCTTGCGAGGGGCTCTTAGATAGCACTGTCGTCAACTTTCAGTGCCAAGACCCTGGCCAGCTTTGAGGCCTTCCAAAATTCTGTATTCCCAAAGAAAAAACAGCGTTTTCAAGGTGGCATTTCTAAGACTCAAAATTCTGACACTGCAAGGACAGACCTCTCGGCTTCAGCTACAGCACCGCGTTCACACTGAGCCCCAAGGCCAGGAAGCTCCTTCCCTGGGACATCTCCCTTCTGGGGCTCCCCCCCCCCTGCAAAGGGTCTGGCACAAGGACTGTCAACAATGAATAAATCAATAAGGAAGAATTGGTTGATGGCCACCGTTTATGTGAGGAAAGAAAACTGCCCTGTTGGGACACTTCTCCAGAAAGGGAAGAGCTCTGTCTGAGGCTCACCTCTGAAAGGGACCCGCTTGGCTTTTCCAGAAGCAGGTCAACCGGACGGGCTCAGGAACTACTTTCAGCCCTGGGAGGGTCCCACCTTTGGCTGTCCACCCAAGGATTCTTGGAGCCAGGCCGAGGGGCATGGAGGAGCAGAGTGGCTGGCTCTTCTGCTCCTCTTCTGGAGGCATCATCTCGTTGGACCCAGGGGAAACCCAACCCCCACCCTGCCTCTTGGCGAAGGGCCGAAAGGACCGAAGACGGAGTGAGTCTGAGGCTGGAAAGCTTCGCTCCCGGGTCTGCAGAGCTGCACCAACAAAAGCTCTTTGTGAGGGGCCATTGTGTGGCTGCAGAGGCGTGGGCGCCTGGGCTGCCAGACATTCCAAGCCCCGTTTCCAGAGACCACAGGTCACTCGCAGCGCTGGTGCAAAATCTCTTTGGGGGTAAGGCTGGCGGGGGGGGGGGGAGGAAGAGAGAAGAAATCTTTCGAGGAACCCTCCAATTTCTCAGCAGAAGTAAATGGCGGGCGATGCAGGCCTGGGGATCTTGGAACCCACTTTATCGCAATTATAGTAATTGTGGGGTCAGGCCATGTGAGAGGACTGAGCAGAGGGAGGCTGCTGTGGTGGGACCAGTCCAGGGGACGGGGTAGGGGGGTTTAATCCCCCATTTCCCATCGTGCAACAGGCTTGGGAGAAACACAAAGGACTTATTTTCCAGGAGGGTCATTGCAATGCAAGCAAGAACTCCGATTTAAGTGAAGGCGGGCACAATCCACTGGATAAAAGCCTTGCCGATAACAAATGCGAGTGGGAGGGGAGAGCCAGCCTCCCCCCCTCCACCCAGCAGAGACTGTGCCATGAAATATGGACACGAGCGAGCTGACCTCAACACTTATGCTTTTGGCTTCTGAACCGGCTGAGTGTCCCGAGGACATCAGTGCCTAATTCCAAGTCTGGCTCTCTAAAGCCCTGAGGGGTCTGGAGTTGGGATCCTTCTCCTTCTGCCCCACCAATGGGAGCATCAGTGAAGTTGGCCCTGGCTGATGGGTGCTAGAGTAGTCCCTTGCAGTCCAGTTCAGCATCAGAGGACAGGGCTGACTTCCGACATGACCTCCAGGACTGGCCTTTCTGCCTTTTCCCAGGCTGGTTTGAGTAGCTGGTCCCCCTGCCCCCTGCGCAGCCCAGGCAAGGAGGCCTGGGGGAGCAGCCCACCCACCACCCTAAGAGCCCCCTCTAAAAACAGGACGCAGATTGGAGAGTTCGCACTGGGATGGGATGAACCCCCAGAAGAGGAAGCGCCCAACGTTTTCTTTTTGCAAATTAGCCTTCGGTCCCCTGGTGGTGCAGCCTTCACCCCCCGGAAGGCAAGTGCAGGCCGGTCTCCCCAGCGGCTTGGAGGGGGAGGAGGGCCTGCCGTGGGGGTGGGGCTGCTGGATGTCCCTCCAGGGGGAACCTGGAGACAGGCTGGGGGTCCCGCACGGTCACTCCAGAGGCTCCAAGAGGATATCGTCCAGTCGGCGAAGCCAGCGAGGGACCCCGCTGGAGGTGGAAGCTGCTGACGCTACCCACGGTTTCAAAAACAGGATGCCGAGTCACATCCTGGCCAGGTTGCAGGACTGTGGATTCACCACAACAAGGAGGCACCTCGGTGGGCCAGGGAGACGGTGGCCGGGAAACCAGCTGGCAACACAGAGAAGGGCCTCATGGGCTGCCTGCAGGGAAACCCTCAGCAACCAGGGGGCAACATGTGGGTAGGAAATCTCTCACGCTCGGGGTCAAGACCACAAACAAAGCTGGGCCGGGCAATGGGGGGGGCAGGAACCCTTCTTTGCAGTTTAACTTCCTTCTTCTGAGGACCGATGGCGTCTTTGGACGTTATTTTGATCCTGCTTCTTGAATTGTTTTACTCCCTGCTTAGGATAAGCCTTGCCACTCTGGATGGGGCTAAGTAACCAGCACTTACGGACAACGGGCAGATTATTCTCCCATTTCATATCCCAGGAGAGCGATGCGCTTTTGGGCCTGCAATTGGAGTGGTGGGTTGTAGGACCACTTTGCAAAGACCCTCCTGATGGGTCAGTTTGGCTGCTTGGCAGAAACCTCCCAGGCCTCCCAAGGTCACTTCGGTCTCTGCAAAAATCTGGAGAAAACTGTCATGCAAACCCCAGACTGGCTGGCAGAGGTGGAATGAGAGCGCCCCCAACAGACCAAAAGGGACAACACATCATTTGCCCTTTGGAGTAAGACCCCAGCCAGCACTGCAGCTTCACCAGTCAGGACTCCGCCGGTCCTACCACTGAGCTGATGGACGGAAGGTCTAAAGAAGACCGGCGGCTTCCACGGGCTCCATGGTAGCACAGATGCCACCTGGCTGGCACCCCCGGTCGGCAGCCAGTGCCAATATGCTCTCCTATCCCTTCCCCCTGGGAAAGATGCCTGCTTTGGTCAGCTGGTAAGGGTGCTGAGTAGACAGGACTCCCTGTCTGGGGGCAATGTTGGCACCCCCTCCCCAAACAAGATGGTAGTTCAGCCATCCCGATTATGAGGAACGTTGGAGCCCTGAATTCACTTGCTTTCCTCTCCTGGGAATTTGCCTCAAGTCCTTGTACGCTGTCAACTCTGCTCCACTTTGGGGCGGTTTTTAAAGAATGAATAAAAAAAAACATTGCAATTATATACAGGCTATAACAGCCTCAGTATCCCAGACAAAGCAAGATTGTAAAAATAGTACTGAATAGCCAGCAGGGTTCAAATTGTACCCCCAAAACCAAGGAAGATGAAAAAGGATCTTAATTATTCCTCTGAAAATGCCATTTTTTCCCCCATGACATTTCCTGCAAGCAAACCGGTCGGGCATGCGGTTTTAGCGCAGAATTTGAGCACCCAGGGAGTGTTAATCCAGCATCTCAATGTATTCTTGCATGTCTGAAAGTGAGCTAAGGCAGTTATCTGAGAACTCCACGGCTGTGTTGGAACAGCACCCCAAAGTTTACAGGGAAGATATGACAATGACTAGCAACCCCCGCGTGCCCTACTCTCCCATTTCCTGAAGGGCGCCAGGCGGGTGAAAAACTCTACGGCGAGTGGGGGAACAGTTCCTGCCTACCTTAGGTTGAGTTTGCGTTCTTCATCGCTGCCAACATCCAGCTGATGGGGAGGAAAAGCAAGAATTAAGCCCAGCACAATCTCAGTTATACTTCCAAACATCTGCAATGAAAGATGTGTTTATGGTGGACCACCGACCTTCCGAGGGCTTGGAGGAACACAAAGGCTCCCCCTGTTTATCTGAAGACCCCGGAAGGTGGGGTCTTAGGCAGATGGGGCACCTTAAGGCCTTCCAGTGGGATTTAATGGCATCTGCCACGAACTCTGTTCCCTGTGCCCCCCCAACCCCATCCAGAGCCTTTCACCCCCAAAAGCCTGCGGGGAGCCCCAAGGGGCAGAACCCACCTGGCAAACCTGGCCCGCCCACCCAGCCTTCCTGCCCTCACCTGAATTTAATCTGAGCTTTCAGAACAGGATCACCTGTAGCTGTGGGGAAGGAGACCCCCCCTTGCCCCTCCTTCCCCAATTCCTGCAGCCCACTAGCCTTATGGCACAGGGGGTCAGCAGCCCCACCATCCCCCCCCCACCGCCCCACTCATTTCAAGGCAGGCCAAACCCGGCTCAGGGTCTTTGGGGGCTGAAGTGCCCGGGGGCTGATCCTGTCCTCGCAGCCCCTCCCCCGAAAAGCCCGATCCCTCCCCTCCCCCCGGAGTTCTCCCTGGGAACCAGACCCCCCCCCGCAAGGGAGCGGCTGCCCGGCGGGAGGCCAAGCTCCGCCGGCATGAAGGGGGGCCCCGGGCGGCGGCGGCGGGGCAGCGAAGAGGGCGGGGGGCCCGGGGGCCGCTCGGGCTCTGACCTCGCTGGCGCTGGCCGAGGAGGAGGCGGCGCTGGGCGTGGGCGAGCGCTGCAGGGTGACCAGCGCCATGGCCGGAGCGCGGGGCGGCGGGGCGCGGGCGGCAGGCAGGCAGGCCGGCCGGGGAGGAGCCTGCCGGGCGGCGGAGGAAGCCGCCTCGCGCCCGGGGGCCGCCGGAAAGGGCTCGCCCCGCACCCGCCGCGGAGGAGGAGGAGGAGGAGCACCGGCCCGCCCGAGCCGGTCCTGCCGCCGCTGGATGCCGGCCGCGCATCGCTCCGGAAGGGAGGGAGAAGGAGGGAGGGAGGGAGGCAGAGCCCGGCGGGCGTCTCTCCCTGCTGCCCCGGGGCGGGGGCAGAGGGCCCGGCGACTGTCCCCCTTTCCAGGGTGCTGACGCCTCCCTCAACTCTGGGCTGCGAGACGGCTAGTCTGTGCGATTCTCCCCTCTTGCTCTTGCTCTTGCAAAAAGGATTGCGGATTTCATAAGCAGCCCCCATCTCCAGAAGGAGTAAGGAAAGGAACTAGTAACAGTACCCATAGTCCACAGTATGGCGGCAAGACATCTGGCTTGAGATTGCCATTGAAGCCTCTATTAATCCGGAGAACCTTGTGGGAATTTTCCCAGATGTGAATGAGGTGCAGATGATGAGTTGGAGAGGGGGGCAAAATAATCAGTGGGGATAATTATTGAGGATTATTCACTAGAGACATAAGAGCATTAATTCAAGATTCATAGCAGAAAATTTGCCAAATTATGTCGAGGAGAGTCTGGGGCAGTGAAGGTTTGCCGGATAAGGAAGCCTAAGCAATTGTGTCTTGGTTTTGGGAGCACCTTGTTGGATGTTCCAGCAGACCTTTCCAGAAGAATTTATTTTCATCTTTCAGTTGTAAAGCGAGGCGCTCTGGACAGGACGGAAGGAGGTTAACTGAGCTCAGAAGATTTCTGCCTCTCTCAGCTCAAAGGATCCAGAGATTGTCACATCACACCAGCCTGGATGGTGCCACGCTAAGTTAGAAGCTTCCTCCTTTTGTTTACTTTGCGTTGAGCCCCAGAGAAGGAGACTGTTATGCAGGAACTTCAGAAGGGAAGCAGACTCTGGGCTGGACGCAAGAGGTCTCTCCTGACCACGAAAGCCGAGTCTGGTGGGGGCTGGCCAGAAGCTCTGAGTTCTGCGTGGTTCTCTCTGCCCCAGAATAGCTTCTTGGCACAGGAGAAGCCTAAGCTCCACCTTGCGGCCTCGTTACCCTGTCGGAGGGAACTTTGACCATCCACAAGTTCCCAGCTTTCTTCCTGCAAATAGCCGTGTTAGAAGACCTTCCTGGGCCTGTGGACTGTCCCGGTGAGAAGGTTCGGTCTCTCGCTTGGCTTCTTTGGGGTTGTGAGAAGGAAATTATGGCAAAGCGGCACCCGGGAAATGTAGCTGCTTGGTGGTTGCGGTTCTGCAGAAACAGATTTCGGAGGTCTGGCAGAGATAGGCGCTGGCCTGCTGGGCTGAGAGAAGAGGCAACGCTCTTTTGCTGAGATTGTTAAAATCTAGCTTTTTCCCAGGAGAGGCTCGGCAGCTCTGAAGGTTTTCCGATCTTCTGCATTTATTGCAAATCATTAGAGAAAGAAAGTGGGTTGAAGGTGGAGAGAAAAAGTGCAGGGAGTGGCCCTCCTCCCCTTGAAAGCTTACAGCAGGAGTGGGCAACCTGCCGTATCCCCCCACCCACCCACAGTTCTCCTGCCTGGCCTGGATGTGGCCAGGGACGCTAGGATCTTGCTGGAGGGGCTGTAATTTGCAGCAATCGGGGGGGGGGCTGGAGAGGTCCGAGGGGCAAAGAAACACACAGGACCCATTTTACCACCCACCTCAAAGAGAAACATTCAAAGTTTTTCTTTGGGATTGGTTATTTTTAAGGTGCAAGATGGTCTCCCTTTCTGCCCCCTCCAGACTCTGCCATGCGTGTCGCCGTGATTGGAGCTGGGGTGATAGGACTGTCCACAGCCCTTTGCATCCATGACCGATGGCACTCTGCTGACCGGCCGCTGCAGGTGGAGATCTACGCGGATGAATTCAGCCCCGGCACAACCAGCGATGGGGCCGCCGGCCTTTGGCAGCCCTACCTGTATGACAAAGGAAACCCTCAAGAAACGTAAGAGCAAAGGGCCAGCTCCCCTTGCGAAGGGCGGCTGAGTTCCTCCAGGGGCTGAAGCTCACCCGCCTGGGGGCATGCCAGCTAAGGAATTCTGGGAGTTGAAGCCCACCCGTCTTCAAGGGGCAGAGGGTCAAACCCTTCCTTGGTTTTTCAGGGATTCTTTGTTGAAAAGTAAAGTGCACAGCGGATTAAATGTGAAGGGAAACATAAACAATATGAAGCTGTGACTTTTTCCCCCTTTGCCCTGGGAAAAAATTTACAATCAATCTGCTGACTGAGGAGGATCTGTGCCAACGTTCACACGTGGTTCATAACTACTGCCCCAAATGCTTCTCAGCCTTTCCAGCTGCCAACAGTTTTTTTCTCTTGCAATTTCCTAGAGCTCAGATTGAAGGAAGACGTCTGACCCTCTCTTCTTCAATATTGCAGGATCTGGAACAAAGAGACTTTCGATTATCTGCTCCAACACGTTAATTCACCAGAAGCCAAGGAGATGGGGCTCTTTCTGCTCTCTGGATACAACCTCTTCCGACAACCGGTTGCCGTAAGTGGTTGACTTAAAAATACCTGAGCTATTTTCTCAATGAAAGCATGTTCCTCTTAGGAAGGCTGGAGCAAAGTGTAAAGACAGGGATGGGAGACGCACTGGAGTTTTGCTTTCAAGGATTTTTGATCCCCCTTCCTTCCCACCGTGTAATGCAAGGAGCAAAGAGGTTTCCAGCTGGTAGGAAAATAAATTCAGGAGCTTTGCAGACAGAGAGTTCTCAATTGTGGGGCTGTGTCGCCAAGACTTCTGGCCCAAGACTTATTTTGCATTTGTGTGAGATTCTGTTTCTCCCTCGTCCCATCTGTGTGTCTTTCTTTGCAGGAGCCATCTTGGAAACATATTGTCTTGGGATTTAGGACATTGTCCCAGAAGGAGCTGGAGCTGTTCCCCGGCTACAGGTATTAGACGGCCTCTCTCTTTGGATTTGGGAACTGTTGTAGACCAGTGTTTCTCAGTCTTGGCCATTTGAAGATGGATGGACTTCCACTCTGAGAATTTGTATCCATATTTTTTTGTTTTTGTCTTCTTTTCCCCTAATTTCAGCTACGGCTGGTTCAACACAGCCCTGATCTTGGAAGGCAAAAGCTATCTCGCCTGGCTTACAAACCAGTATGTATGAGCCTCCTTTTTCCTGCTGTCTACGTTGGGCAACTCTCTGAGTTTTAGGTAGTTTGCTTTTTATTCTCGTGGTGACAGAGCTAGGAAAGCTGGTTGGGACCTTTCATGAAATCTTTCACCCATGTGGTGGCCTAGAAAGAGGAAGTGGAATCCTGGTCATTCAGCTAATAATGACTAGCTATCCTCAACCTTCCATAGTCAGAGAGACTAATACCTTGAAAATACTAGTTGTGGATGGAGAAAAGGTAGAACAGTTGCCTTTAAGCCCTGCTCCCCACCCCCACCCCCAAAGCTCAGAGCCAACAGGAGTGCCTATCAAACTCTTCTGCTGACAATCCTCCATTGCTCTTAAAAGGTTGACCTCAAGGAGGGTCCAATTCTTCCATCGGAAAATCAGGTCCTTCCAGGAGGTGAGTTGGAACATATGTGAAGCTGGCCAGGAATGGTGGAAATTGAAATCCAGCACATCTGGAAGGCACCAAGTTGAGAAGGTCGCTCTAGACCAGTGTTTCTCAGCTTGGGCAACTTGAAGATATGTAGACTTCAACTCCCAGAATCCTGGGAATTGAAGTCCATACATCTCCCAAGTTGTCTACTTGACAGATGGGTGGGGTGGGATGGGGGGGTGCCTTGTATTTCTGCAGAGCAAGAGAGGGATTGACTCTCTTACTCTCTTCTGGCAGCTGGCAGCTGAAGGAGTGGACGTGGTTGTCAACTGTACCGGGATCCGTGCCGGAGAGCTACAGACTGACCTTGAGCTCCGTCCAGGCCGAGGACAGGTCATCAAGGTGAAGCCTGAGGGAGTTGGTCAGCAGGGCTGGTGGAGTCAAGCTGGGACATATCCTAGTGGGACAGCCCACTTGGACATTGGACGTTGAGGAAGGCTGGTCTGAACCTTCCCACAAGGCCCTCAACCCTAGAGACAAACAGGCAGGGAGAGGCATGTGTCGCTTGCTGGATAGAGATGTGCAGCTCTGTTAGTTGTTTGAATTAATAAATACACACCTCTGATGACCTGGTGCTTGTCACAGCAAACCAGGAGAAAGCAGAGAAATTGTTTCTTCGGGCTGTGCATTTGCAGGCTAAACCAGCACTCCATCTGGCTCCTTCCTGACCTTCATGCTTATTCTGGACCTCTAGGTTGATGCCCCCTGGGTGAAGCACTTCATCCTCACCCATGACCTCGAAGCTGGCATCTACAAGGAGCCCTACATCATCCCTGGGTAAGGAAAATGCAGTGGAGAGTGGTGGAGTTATCAAGGTGGATCCAGCCATGGTGGGAAGTGGACCAAGAGATGTTCCAGCTGCGTCTCTAGGGATCAAGTCTTCTCCCTCTGTTGGAATCCGGTGATCCAGTATTCTTGAGATTGAAGGGAGGTTCCCACCATCTTCTGCTGATATCCTTCCATGAGAAGCGAACACAGTTTGACCCCAAACTTCCTCTAACTTGGTGGTTTCCAGTGGGTGGGACTCTGTGCTGGTTCAGCCGGATGAGAGCTGTAACCTAACACACCTGGAGGACAACAGACTGAGGAAGGAGGCCCATTCTGAAGGTGGGAGGAGGTCAGATCCTCCATCCTACCTCTTAGCACTCCTCTGACTTAAAATAGTTCAAGACTGACTGTTCCTCCCTCCTCTGCTCTTTGCAGGAGCCGTGTAGTGACCTTGGGGGGCATATTTCAGCTGGGGAACTGGAGTACAAAGAACGATCCCGAGGACCATAGAAACATTTGGGAAGGATGCTGCAAGTTGTTGCCCAGCCTCCAGGTAGATCATCTCACCCCAGGTGGGCCAAGGCTGTCGCGAGAAACACCTGCGCTCTCCCCATTTCCCTAGGCCCGGAAGGAAGTCCCCGTGGCAGCTCCTCCAGGGTTTTTGGTGCCCCACAGCCTAAAGGAACATTGGGGAAGAATCTCTGGGGTCTGCCTCTGAGAATAAGCTGCTGAACGTATTTCTTCCAGAAAGCCAAGATAGTTGAAGAATGGAGTGGTTTACGCCCATCGCGCCCTAAAGTCCGGCTAGAACATGAGACCATTCGCCATGGGACGCTCCGATGCGAGGTAGCCGTTTTTCTGAACGAAGAGGATTTCAGGAATTGTTCCAGATTCAGAGTCCTGCATCTCATCTGCTTCTGGGCTTTGAAGTTCCCATTCTTTCTCTTCCAGGTGATTCACAATTACGGTCATGGAGGGTTCGGGCTCACCATTCACTGGGGGTGTGCCATGGAAGCAGCCAAACTCTTTGGGAAGATCCTAGAAGGCCAGAAGTTGACCAAGCCACTTCGGGCCAACCTTTGAACAAGGGCAAAGGTGTAGGACACCCGTCTGTGTCGATCTATTTTTCTTCTTTCCACCTCACAAGGAGGAACTAATCTTGCCGAATTTGGGAGTCCAGTTCCTTAAGACTATTTATAACTGAGGCCCTCACTTTGAATGTCTATACAGGGTAAATAAGACTTTACTCTGGTTAGTAAGGCGTCCCAAGGTTGTGGAGCTGTTCCATTTTTCTTTTATCTTGATTTGGGGTTTTGGTACAAAAAACACCCTCATGAATGTTGGGTTTTATTCATAGAGAGGAGATGAACAAATGTGTTCAAGCAGAGGGCAAACAACCATCTGAAATAGTTATTTTTGGATTTTTAAAGAGGCAGGAGGCTGCCCCCCCCCCTTCCGCTCTGTGGGTTCATACAAGTTTCTCTTATGCTTTTTTTCTCAAATAACAACTATATCTGCTTCCCGATCCATGTTCTCTTTGCTTCTGGTTTCTAGTGGAGTTGTCCTCTATTAAAACTTACAAAATACTTTGAAAGCATGTTTGACTGAGTCTTTATTTACGTTTACTCATTACTTTCTTAGCTAACCTCTTTTTTATCTCTTTAAAAATGCTCAGCATTGTGAGGATCGGCTCCAGTAAGCTCATTACTTAGAGTGAGATTGTCCCTCTGAATAAATCGGGATGACATCTCCAGCTGCTTTCCACTGATTTTCATGCTGGATTTTGCAGCCCCAGCTGCAAACTTCCAGAAAAGGAAAGACTCTCCCTTAGGGCACTAGAGCTGTAGTGAGTTTTCACCTGATGGGGGACACTTCCTTGGGGGGACGCAATTCCTATTTTTGAGGGAGTGAGAATGCCGTAATCCTCTTCCTTATGAAAAACTATTCATTTATTCAGCATAAAATATCCAGTGTGGAATTGCCCTACCTAATGGTGTGCAATTAACGGAGACAGGAGAATATCGTACAAGAAGCTCAGGATACAGAAATCTTGAGAACAGGCATCACAGTTAGAAACTGTACATTCAAACATAGCAGACATTTAAACAATACTGGCCGCCCCCAGCCCCAAATACTGAAAAATACAAATACCATTCAACACAGCATATACAGCAAACTCTCCCCAAAGCTTTGCCAGTTAAGGAACTGGAGAACCCACAGAGTCCCAAACACCACAACTGAATGTCAAATAGCATTTTTGCTTCTTTTTTAATGAATACACCAACCGAGCTTTATGTGTTTAGAGTCCTATCTTTGTTACATATGTTGGTGATTTTCTGGTATTAAAATGTTCCTCGAATATGAGAAGGCCAAAACTTATGTCAGACAGGAAAAAAAAGTGACAGCATAAATTTCCAGCTCAACAATCAAAAGCTTGCAAAGTTGGCTCGTATCGCCAGGGAGAAATCTAATCAATTTAAATAGCCTGCAATTCAGTTTGGAAGAGACAAACTCTTCTTGATCATCATTTTTGTGTCGGCAAAAAGCTGGTCTACCTGTACAAATCATTTGTACAACTAGCAGAACCTATGTACATTTTTTAGTAGCAGTTGGAAAATGTTTTGAAATAACCACATCCCAGAAAGCCACTCGGGGACATCTCTGAAGATATCCATCGAAATAGAATAGAATTCTTTATTGGCCGAGTGTGATGGGACACACAAGGAATGAAACCATCTTAGTAGAAGCCACATAGCCCTAAACATGTTAGAAGTTGCCCGCACATGCCTCTGGCACACACACACACACACTTCATAGCTATCGAAGTACAGCCTCCTTACAAACCATCCGAGGCTTCCCAGTGCAGATACGACGTCCAGATGATGTCTTTCACCTTAGCTGAGCCAGTCAAAGACCACAAGTCACGGCAGAGAAGACATGCCTCTGAACAGAAGGAGAAATGAGGAGGGATGTCTAGCAATGGGGCCCTCTTCTCCTCCCGTCTATGAACCTTTGGCATTTGAGGGGTGCCCAGTGACAGAAAGAGGATGGCTAAGCTGGATGTCTTGGGATGACCACCACCAGGACCTGTAGTCATTCTTAGGCCTCTCTGTTGGGGAAGGTGGATATGAACCAAAAGGAACCATCACCATTGCATAAAAAAGTGATCTAGCTTGACTGGACAGAACCTGCTCCCTTCCGTTTTACTGGATGAACCTAAATTCTTCAACTGAAAAAGAGAATATTTCCTGTTATTACCTCACCGTGCATCATTTGGTGAACTTACAGATGTTTGCTCCTCCAGTTGCCTCCTGAGAAAAACACTTCAGTCTATGGGTCACCTGGGGGGGGGGAGTTTTCTGCTGCACACTCTTCCTTTGGAGACAGGGCAGTCACAGCCGTATGCTGTGTGTCCAAATTTCCGTGGTTTTTTTTTTGTTTTTTTATGCAGGATTGACTTCAATATCCAAGGAAGTTCTCCATCAGTGAGAGGAACAGCATTTATCTGAATGCCTCTCCGCCCTCACAATCCCAGTTGCCAAGGAGATTCAGCTAAATTAGTAAAGGTCTGTGGGCCTTGACAGTTCATGGTGACAGAAAGAGTGCAAGGCTGACGATCAAGTCACAAGTGTGTGTGTGAGCTGCTCTAGGCGTGAGTACACATACATATGAACCTGTTTGCTTCTCAGGGTTGAAGACATCAGACTGAAAAGCGGAGTCCTTGAAGGCAGGGGGATTGCTTGTGTGAGATGAAGACGCTCACTTGGCAACAAGAACAAAGCCTGGCCCTCTTGTTATCTGTGTCCACCGTGACAAACGTAGTAGAAATTTGCGGCTAGATCTTTCCATGGTTATATCACATCCCTCCTCAATGCACACAAACACACACACACTTTCATCTCCCAGATGGAATGCCTCTCCTTGCACGTGGGGGTGGTGAAGATGCAAGCAACAAAGGATCCGGGACAGGTTGACCATCCCTTCTTTGGGCCGAGGATGGTGGTGAGATATTGCACTTCTCAGGTGTTGGGACTTGACTTCCTCTAGGTGGGGCAATCACCCCTGAGAGCCAGAGTTCGATTGGGGGACGCCGCGCCCGAACATCTCCTGCCCCCACTCCTTGTGGGTGGACTCCTGGAGGCCGCGGCCTCTGGTTTCGATGGGAAGCAAGCAGGAGGCCAAAGCTGCCAAGATGCAGCACCCGCTATAAACGATCAGCGTCAGATAGACCGAAGACTCCAGCATTACCTGGAAAGGGAGGCAGAAGATCAGCCAGACTGGTGTCCTTGCCAGGCTTCAGACAAAAAAAGACCCTCGAGGCTTGGTCAAATCCCCCAGGGCTAAATTAGGTTGGATGGACGAGCCGAGCTTTTGGCTGTGGGTGGTTGGGGTCTTGGAACTTTGCAACAATATTGTGACAAAGATGATGTCTCCCTATTCAGAGCAGTCTAGGTGGATGAGGCGCAAATACAGGGAACTGCCCGGCTTGTATCTGAAGAGTGCCAAACTGACATGGCAGACAACCTCATTGTGATATTTGGTCTTTCGGGTGTGTCCCCACAATTGTGTTATTGAAGGGTCTTTAGAAACATATATTGCGGAAGGAGAAGAAGCCTAAAGAGCCTCTCATGCGCCGGGAGGGGTTGAGGTAAATCTAGCATGGACATCCAGGTTCTGCTATTGCATCGCTAGAGCTTCCCTTCAGAAGGTCACCAGGATCTCTGATTCATTGACATGTCCTGGGACAAGCCTGGGTAAAAGAAGCCCTGAATGGCCACTAGGAGACGTCCTTCCTTTACCTGCGCAATGAAGGGTGTGATGAGGGCGCCAACTCTGGCCACTCCGCTGCATGTCCCCAGGCCCAGGGCACGGGTGGCGGTTGGGTAGACCTATTGGGAAAGCCATGACCACCTTGAGGCCCGCTGCCCACCCCTTTGCTTGCTGCAGCCGGCGGTCACTTGGCCGAGCCCTCTCCCTGGGAAGCTCCAGCAGAGTCTCAACCGGATGAGGAGTGCCTTCCCTCCTTCCTACCTCGGGGGTGTAAACATACGCAGCCTGGAACCCTCCCGAAATAAAGGCCCTGGCAACGAAGAGCAGCACGGTGAGCATCTTCCTGTACCAAGAGAAGGTGGCTTGCTTTCACGAGACCCAGCACACGGGCCAGGGTCATTCCCTTGTAGTCCTATGGAGCCACCCCAATGGGGTGGCTCCCCACTTCTCTGGGTCCCCCAAACTCACCTTCCAACACAGAGGAAGAGCAGGAGGCTGCAGAAGGAGAAGACCAGAAAGGAGAGCGCCATCGTCTTCTTCCGGCCAATCCGGTCAATCACCCACAAGGTCACAAGAACCCCTGGAGGAGAAGGAGAAGAGGAGCCTCAAGGCCATTTCGCCACCACCAGTGTCCGGGTGGGAGCGCGAATCCTTCCAGGTTGCAGGAGGAACGGAGTCACCTTCAACACGGGAGTGTCTGGCCAGCCACTGGTTCCAGGCTGGTTTATCAACTTTTCTGAACTTGCTGGCCAAGTCAGACCAAAGGACCTGGCTTCTCTAGCAGGCTTATTCCACTTCCCTTCCCTCTCCCCCAGAGCCATTCCTAAGAGCAGAGTTTGCGTGTGCTGCACACGTCTCTCCAGGGTGACAGCACCACATCAGAAGGTTTCAGTGACGTCAAAGGGAGAGCTCTCCTTTCTCCTGACTGCACTTCCAACCTCCTTAAAGGGCTTTGGGAGAGCGAGGCGGGGGCATCAAGACCACAATCACTATTTCAATAGAAATGAGGGGAAACAACCCAAGTATTTTTTTTGTCAGAGGCCAATATTTATTCTTAAATTATTTTAGCATCTTGGGAAATGCAGCTAAGTTAAAGTATATGTTGGCAGCATGTCAGCTGTAATGGGGCATGAGGTAGAGAGCCAGGTACCCGTTGGATTCACACTGGGCACCTTATTCCTGAAAGGACGAAGGAAGGGGAGGGTCACAATATGACAACACAAGCTCCTCCTTGCGTTCCAGTATCGTGCCACCACTTGCCCCTCCCCCAGTTGGGCACCCATGCCCCCCCCATCTCCTTTCCCAAGGTCTACCTGGGAACTCGGAGAGGGTGGTCCAGAGCAGATCAATGTAGTCCTTTTCCGTCAGAATTTCACACGCCAGGCTGCATTTTGCCTTCACTGTCTTCCTCCTGCTGGACACTTGGATGGAGCAAGGAGAAAGGGGGGGGGGAGAAGGAAATGAGGTCTTGAGCTCCCACCCCTTTGCTGGAGAGCCAGCCTTGTGCCCCTGTGCTCTTTTGCTCCCTGTTGGCAGAATCCCCCTCACCTGACCACCATCACCATGGTCAAACCACCAGCCCACCCGGTGCAAACTTTAGGGCAGCTGTGCCCTGGGAAATGCTCATGCAAGTCATCCTTCCAGGTACTGAGGGGGGCTGCTACCCATCCCAGCAGGCCCCTGGCTGAATGGACATCTTGTCAATGCTCCTTCTTGATCTCAACTGAGGGACCAGGTAGAAACATCCATTGAATAATATCTGGGCATTCCGGGCTCTGGGCGTATCCTCTCCCCACTCTGTCTGACTCACAGCTGCAAAGGTCTCCTGCTTGGAATAGCTCCGTGGTCAGCAGGACGAGGCCGTAGTAAGAAAAGGCATTGGAGAACCTGCGAAGAGGAAAGGAAAAATCTTCAGGCAATGAGATGCTCTGAAAAGGAAGCATAAAAGAACAGCGGTGCTGTGTAAAACCGTTCTCTGCTCCCAAGAGAGAGGAACTACACCGCCCAGTCTCATTTCACTGGAGAGGAACTGAGATGGTCCCTGGAAGTTCTACGCCTGTCTTGTACCAAAGTTAAACTCTGATTTAATCCACCTCCTGGGATATTTTAGCAAACAGCTGCTTTACTTACTTCTTACTGCTGTATGTCTGTTTCTCCATTCATGTTTTTACTAGTTAAAAGGTCTTGGTCAATTTATCAGGGGTAAACCTTCCCAGTTTATCTTACCAGATAAACCACAGCAGAAGTGTGGTCAGTCTGAACTGTGGCGTGAATAAGTCCCTCATTTTCCCTCGATCTTCCTGTTTGGAAACAATAATCGACTGTTCAGTGTTGTCTGAACAAACAGCAAGAAGTCAGGTGCAAAAGTGCAGCTCCAGCGTCTCTTGGGTAACACTAGAACTGGAAGTCACACAGGCAAGGATCCCAGATCTGAGATTTATTGAACGAGTGAGGAATGCAGTTAAAAAAGTTTGCCAGCAACTGGCAAGTATGAAACACAAGCCCTGTTTGTGATGAAATCCAGGTTCAAATGCAATATCTGTTTTTTTCCTGCTGATGCCTGTCTTTGGATTTACTGCTGGTGGGAAGTTTTCTCAGCAGTTTAGAGAAAGGTGGGGTAGAAAATTAGTCAAACCAAACCATCATTAAGACAAGTCGTTCCCATCCCTTCCTCCCCAAGACTTGAGACGGCCATGAAGGCCTTTCTCCAAACTCACCTGCCTAGACATAATCAACTTCCCCAGAGGCATCGGGGCACCATTCTCAGTTGCAATCCTTTTCAAGGTAGCAATGGCCTTTTCCTGGTTACCGGTTAACACATCGTATCGGGCGCTTTCTGGCAGCCACTGCAGGAGACGAGGAAGGCCACAAGTTGTTGCGTAACTCAGCTTTCCCCAACCTGATCCCCAGCCTCCTATCTTGTCAAACCTGCCAGCTGAAAGCAAAGTGGGGTAGTAATCCAATACTTCTTAAGGACGTGAGGCTGGGGAGCATCCCAAAGGCTTAGATTATCTAACTACCAAGCAAGAAAGGTCATCTCAGTGCAGAAGGCTAATGTGCATCCGTTGCCAGAGACTCTGATCCCAGAAAGAATACGTACAAAACACAAGATGGCAAACAGCATAAGAGGGACGGCTGAAAGGATGAGTAGCCATCGCCAGCCAAGGGTGGGCATCACAAACACCGCAAGGAGGACTTCAAAGACAGTTCCGATGGCCCAGAAGACCTGTCCGTGGAAAGGAGGAAAAAACAGGAAGGATTATTCGAATGGATGAGTTCCATCTTAGCAGATTGAATTAATTGCCTCCGCTTTTGATGGCCATCATCTCTGGAAAAATCTGTTCTTCGTGACTTGTTCACATGGAACATTCCCAACTGATGTGGTTGCTTTGGAGCCACAAACGTCCCGGTAGTAAAATGTGACACCAACTCATCCAATGACAGACTCTGAAATCTCTACTCCTCAGCCTTTCATTTTGGATTTCTCTGACATCTGAAAACTGACTTTTCTTCACTCACCTCAATCAGCAATATGCACTTTGCTCTGGATTTCATGGGGAGGAATTCTGCATATAGCGTTACCCTGGAAAGAATAAAAGTATCAAAGAGGTAGTTTGCAAAGTTACAACAACGTGGGTCCTGATATCCAGTAAAACTGTTGACTTTTTATTGAAACTCCAGTGAGAGCTTTCAAAACAGCTTTATTCTGACTTGGTGATGGATTCAGAATTGGGTAGGAAGATGGCGGCCATTTCAAGCAAGCCTCTCCAAAGTCCAGATTGTGGTTGGACAAAGGAAGGGTATACTCACGACTGAGGGACGCCTCCAATCCCAAATCCCACCAAGCCCCTCAGGACCAAGATCCAACTGTAAACTGGTGCAAATCCACTAAGGACTCCATAATACAATGTCCAGAGCACGCTGATCTTCAGCCCCTGCACAGAATGAAGAGACACAAAGAAAAGAAAATTTACTGCTTTCCCCTTAGTGGTCACCTGCAGAATATGTAGCAGATAACCCCTGACCCTGTAAATGGGATTGAAGATGGGAATTTCAGAGGACTGAAGTGGTAGGTCATACATCTAGAAGGATGCTAAGCTGAGTAATGTTGGCTTAGTATTTCAGGGGACAAATAGCAAATATCCCAGAGGCACGTGGGAGACTTACGGTTTTTCTGCCATATTGGTCTGAAATATTTCCCCACAGTGTGGAACTGAACATCATCCCCAGGAAAACCACCTGCAAGGAATGGACAAAATGCATTTGCTAAGTGCAAGCTGAAATGGGGGTTTTCCAGGAAGACTTCCTAATGATAAAGGAACAAGATGCTTAGCAAAGAGATATTCCCCAGACTCTCTGCACAACAATTTTACAGGAACCCTTGCCACGTCTACCAACTTATTGATGTATTTGAATGTATTTCCCACCCAGGTCCAATGGTCTCCTTCTCGGAGCTTTAAAAATCACAGGAGATGATAAAGGATAGAAAGTACCAGTAAAGAAGATGGAGAAGGGTAGAAGGATCAGTTAAGTTAGCACACTTTAAAAATATCAATACAACATTGTGGGGTGTAGGTGAAATACATTTATCAGGCCAAACATGACAAATGCTTAATCACTTTTAACTCATTAAATTCAGTCTCTTATATATTTAAATGTATTGATAATCTTCCATAGGCCCATAACTTCACAGAATGGAGTTATCTGGAGGGAATCACCAGTGCAATTCTGTGCATGGGATATAACAAACACCACCGTAACAGTTCTCAATGCTGCAACCTCTTGTAAGTTAATGAGGAAAACAAACTCTTTATTCCCTGAAAACAATAAAGTAGCTTCCTTTCAGACATTGTCACAAACACCTTTGGTGGCCAAGTCCTAGATCCAAGCTGCTGAAATTAATTAGAGCAGGCCAAGATTTTCAGCAGATGTTATTGTCGTCTTGTTCCAAAAAGTAAACTGAGAATCAAATCTAATACTGAAATTCAGCCTGTGGGGTGTGACTCAATGGGTCTGACATCCTAAGAAGCATACATAAGAATGGCTTCAGTTTACTTCTAGCAATGCCAAGAATTTTGACGCTCCCTGTATTATTAAGCTTGCTCGCTGAAAACAGTGGGGCTTTCCCCCCCCTGTGTTAACATCCCACAGCAACAAGGGGAAACCCCTTAGAGAATACAGGAGGAGCTGTGTGGTATTTTCCTACCGATGTGAGCAACGCAACCTGCCAGGTGGGTAATCGCCACTCACAATGAAGCTGAGGTGCCAAGATGCTCAGAATCATCATTTCCATGGCATCAGCCATCTGGAAGAAAAAGGAGATAATATTATAATATTTGCCAAAATCCTTCAGAACCAACATGCCCCTTTATGTAGGTCTCCAAACCGACGTGCCCCATTATGTAGGACTTCAACTCTCAGAATTTGCCAGTCAGCCATGGGAGCTGAAGTCTATAAGTCTTAAAAGTTGCCAAGTTTGGAGCCCCCTATCTAAGTGGACCTGTCAAGATAAACACAGTCTTGCTTTGATCTAATACTTTCCAAGAACCCATCAAGAATGGTAGTTCCATCTACTTGCCCATGCTAAGCCAGTCAGAATGGAGAGTTTCCACTGGAACTTGCCAAACCCAATAGCTTCCACCACGTCTTCCACCATGAAAGTATCTGAAAGGGAGATAAGTATGCCAGGAAACAACGTGATTTCACCCACCATCCCATTTCCAGGTTGCTTTCATGTCCTGACCTGCCCATGCTCACTTTGCTTTTTTCTCAAGGTGATCTACTCACCATCAGTTGGGTTGGCGAAGTCCTTTGGCACAATTCCTCCATCTTCCAACTCTACAGCTTCTAAGTCAGTCTGGACACCCTCAATCTGAACTTCGTGCTCTCCTGACACAGCATCCTCTTCGGAACGGTTGCTTTCTCCTGTCCGACGGAACTTGACAACCCTGGCAAGGTGGAAAAGATTCTGTGGAGATTGGAAGAAACCAGAGTCTGCACACCTGGTTGAGCATCTCTGTTGGTACCCGACCTAAGCTGAGGTCTTTTTGACTGGGTGTCAAATTTGCAGGGAAAGATTCTATCTTTGTCTGAAGGAAGTTGTGCCAAAGGGCGTCTTAGAAGTGATAGCTCCTGAAGTCGAAGAAATATGCCAGCTATTTAATGGTGAAGGATCTTGATAGTTTGCCAGAAACTAAATCTGTTTCCCTGTGTAGATGGCAAAGAGTCCAGCAAGGTCACTAGGTGCTGGGAATGCAAATATATCTGCGATCTCAGACAATGACACTTTGGCTCCCAGCTGGCTAAATAAATACATTTGACACACATAAATAGAAAGAGCCTGCTGTGGTTGCTTTGAAAAGGATGTAGAGAGACTAAAAAGTATCTCAAAGAGAATATTTCATATTTCTTCAACTGAGAAACAGCCCTTGGAAACATCAGCTCTTTGAGCTAGGAGCTCTTGGGACAGGGATTACAAGGATAAACATTCCAATGGAAGACTGTCTCTATAGCTCAATGCTGAACTGTGGAGTTCCTGGTGTTCTCTGAGGTTGGTGGTTTCCTTGCAGACATTTCATCACCTAACTAGGTAACATCATCAGTGCTAAGGATAAACACCATTCTGTCACCTGCATCTGAAATCATCATGACCAGAAATGTTTCCCACCCTAATTTTTGAGCACACGCAGAACCCAGAGCCTGCAAAGGACTGTAGGCCTTGCATGCTTCCCATCTGTGGTTGTTCTTCACGCTTTGCCCATTCATATTTTATCAGCATCAATTATGCAAGAAGCTGACAGACAGACTGACCGCTTTTAGCAACAAGGGAGCTTCCATTTGCAGAGTGGAAAAGGAGGGCAAGTGCTTTATGGAGACCCCTACCCAGAAATGTTAGGCTACCCTGATCAGACTACCAGGCCTAAAGCACCTTTACAGCATTGTGGGAGTGACCAATTCTGTACCTCCATGACAGTCCACTTGCAGGTTAGGGAATCCATAAATCTTATCCATTTTCAAATCTTAAAACTGGACACTTCCTCACCTCCTTCATTTCCCAAAGCAAAGTGGGCTGTGGCTATCGCAGTGTAGCTTGGCCTACAGAGAGGATCTCGAATGAAGAAAAGGGCAGGACGGATTCCCAGAGCTGAATCAGGCCCTTCTGGTTCTACCTTGAGATTTTTTGGGGGAAGGGAGGGAGAGCTTTGAGCAATGCCAGATCCTGGTTCCCTGAAAGGGTGAGATTTCAGGAACGGTGCCCTGCTTTCTACTCACTACAGAAGCTTTCCAGAGACTCTCTTTCTGGGATGGGAAGCATCTTTTAGAAAGTAAGACACTGCCTGCCAGCACTAACCGGAGCTGGAATAAAAGAAAACAGAGCCATCCCACGAATATCAGGGAGGAAGTGTGCTTAAATAGGATTTGCCTAGCAAAGCTCTTGGCTGCCTGAGATGCCTCTGTGGGATGCATTTGTATGCACTGAAGCACCTCACAACTCTGAAAGGAGCTAATTAAGCTGACATGTGAAAGGTGTTTAAAAGGCTCCTTCGCCCAGAAAAATCTTGCAATTTGATCTGTGCCTGATCCACCAGCCAGCAGTCAGCAAAATAAAGGTTATTTCTTGACAGAGCCAAACAATCACAAAGAGAAATTCAGATTCCTGCAAATGTGTGGGTGTCTCTCCTCACCACACGTATCTGAGGAGGAAGCATAAACTACCCCCCCCCCACTTCTGCCTAACAATGCCATACATATTCTCCCAAGTCTTTCAAAGCCATCCTCCTCCTCCTCTCCCCTCCTCCCCCTCCCCCTCAGTGGATCTCTCTGCAAAACCTGTATTTGCAGAAGAAAGCAGAGGAATTCCTAGCCACCCCCATTCTTGCAGCATTCAGGAAGAGAAGGAAAAACATGTCCGGAATCTAAGATCTTAGCTTCCATGATTGCAAACATTTTGGCTGGGTCAAAATTCTGAAATTTTCCTTCAGAAAACAACACTTCCCACAAAGGCAAAGTGTTGATCCTGGGAGGATGCAAATGATGTTTTGGGCAGTCTTTCCCATGCAAGGACCCTCCAGTTGGTGGGATTACAACTCTCATCCATCAGTGATGGCTGGGAAGATCGGAGCGCTCCAGACCCAGGCCTCCGGAGGGCCCCAGCTGTGGGAGAGGGAAGGGGACCTTGTAAGCAAGGAATTCGGGGCAAGGCACAGCAGGGCTCTTTGCAACACCCCTCAAGGAACCGGGGTGCTCTTCCCACCCCGCGTTACTTACGGCAGTTGCCTTAGCTGGAACAAATCTTCCTCCATTGCAAAGGTGTGGCTGGAAGTCTCATCGCTCTTACATGGTGGGAAGAAGGAGAGAAGCAGGGATTTCAGGAGGCTGCCGAGTAGGACAGCTCCCGTTGCCACCAGCCAGCCTGCGCGATGAAAACCCAGAAGGAGGAGGAGGAGGAGGAGGAGGCGAGCTCTGAGCCAGCAGCAGCGGAGGGAGGGAGGGAGGGAGGGAGGGGGGCAGCTTGCTTGCCTTTAAATCCTCCCCCTTTTCTTGCTGGCTGCTCTCAGTTCGCTTCGCTGGCTGCAGGGCAGTCTTCCGCTTCTCTTGCAAGAGACCTTTGCAACGCCCAGGCAGGGATTATTAGAGGAAAACGTACAGCTCTTGGGGGCAAAACACCTCAGTCTAAAGACTGGAGCCCCGGTGGGGCGAAAGAGCTCCTCAGGATGGACCCAGCTCTCCAAAGCTCCCCCTACAGCTGTGGGATTCGCTGCAAGAGATGACTAAGAAGAGATTTCTTGCTGGGGTGGAGGGCTTCCTGGGTCGAGGGCTGGACATTTAAGCCACACATCTCTTCTTTCCAGGGCCAGGGGCTGAGCAAATGAGCGGTGGGGGAAGCTTCCCTTTTCTCCCTCTTCACCTACCACTCCGGTAGCCTTCCAGGGCTGGCTGATTGCAGGTGGAGTGATGGAGCTGAGTTGAACAGAACTGCAATACAAAACATTTTAGAAGTAGTAAGGAGCTAGACTCAGTTCAAAAAGGTGAATGCATGTGGTGCAGGCATGAAAAGAGGTGGGTAACAGCAAATAGAAGGAAAGAGCAGAAGGGTCAGACAAGATTCCGAGTTTCCTATAGGGAGAAGAAGCAACAGAACCTCCAGTTAGAATAAGTGTGGTTTGCGATAGCTTGGAGAAAACAACTGATGCAGTTATGATCTTACAGTCTCATGGTCAAATCCTCAATCTGAGATTAATGCACCTGCCTCAGAATGCAAAGCTTGATGGCCTCTCAGATATGTGTGTGTGTGGGGGGGGGTTCTGGAAGTTGCTCTCTTATCTGGAAGACAGAAAGCGAGGAAGGCTGCCTTCTGGCACAGTGGGAGGCTTGAAGGCAATGGATCTGTCTCAAATAAGTTGGCTTGGAGTACTTGCCAACTCAGCTTTTGGGTGTGTTGGCTCTTGCTGGGTTGAGTGACCTTCAGGCACAGGGAATCAGGAAAGCCGGTGCTGGAGGCCAAGGTGCAACTAAATAATGCACAGGGAGCCTGAAGCAATACGGTCTTGACCAGGATATTGAGTGTGTCAATCTTCTTGCCTCTGCCTGGATTGCTCTGGCTCGCTGCAAGTTTTGTCCACGATTGACAAAGATGCCTTAAATTCTAAATATAGTGGAGAATGTGGTAGTTTTTGAAATGACTCAAAACTGCTTTCCTTAATTTTTCACATGCTAATATTTTGCTTCTACCCCCTTAAATATATTTGAAGTGTTTGCTTTCAGTTGGTGTTTGGGATGCACAATTAATTGTGCAGCTTTATTGCCTGATGCTTTAGTAAGTTCCCTCTGGACTCAGGGGGCTTACTCCCATGTAGAACTACTCTCTTTAAAGCCAATGCTTTAAAAGTGCTTTGGTGCAATTAAGAAAACATCTCGAATGCTATTTTTTCTCCTTCTGCCTTCTCCTCCCGGGACAAAAAGATGCCCTCCTCCTGTTATCTTTCAGAGAAGTTGCTCGGCGGAACCATTTTTCATCTGCGGAACTGTGTTTTCGCAGCACCCGGGGTAGGATGGGAGTCATAGGGCGTAGAACCCCCTAGCAACCGAGGGGGTGGGGACCCGTTGCTACGAGACTCTCGGGCAGGAGCTCGACCCGGCGGCTTCCGCTCCTCCCGGAAAGTCTTCCCCGCGCGACCCGTTCCCGTGCTTTCGGTTCCGTCCGCGAGGAGCAGCGAGGCCGGGGATGCCGCTGAGCCGCTTCGGCGGGCTGGAAACGGAGCGGGCGGCGGCCGTGCTGCGGCGGCTTCTTCGGGCCGGGGGCTCGGCCAGGTCCGGCCGCGAGCGGAGCGGGTCCCGCCGAACACCTGCGGGGGGAAGTGGAGGGACGCCGCCGGCGGGATGATCCCCTGCGCGGATCCCTGCGGGCGTCTGGGCCGAGGGGCTTCCGTGGGTCGGAATGGCAAGCCTTTCCCGTGGGGAGGGACTACAGGTCCCAGAAGGCGCGCCGACTCAGAAACCTGCAAGGGGAGGGAGGGGGCTGCTCGGCCTCCCACCCGGAGGGGCTCCTTTCACGTCCCCTTCCTCTTCCCAGGGCCAGGATGATGAGGAGCTGGGGTGTCATTGGTGGGGTGGCCGCCGTCTTTGCCGCCGGCCTCTACGTCCTCTGGGGCCCCATGGCCGAGAGGAAACGGCGCAGGAAAGGTGAGAGGTGCCCGCCTGGGATGGCACCCACCACCCGGGTCCCCTCCCTGGGACGGCAGCGAGGTGGGAACTGAAGCGTCTGCCAGCCAACAACATCCAGGCTCGGAAGGCACCGGGGACCCGCATTCAGCCTGGAGCTGCAGGGATTCTCTTCTTCCGTTGGAATAAGAGAAGCGGACGAGCCTCCTACAAGGCTAATCCATGGCGTTAATCTTTCTCCCTCCCTGCCCCAACAGGGCTGGTGCCCGGGCTGCTCAACCTGGGCAACACGTGCTTCATGAACTCCCTTCTCCAAGGGCTGTCGGCATGCCCTTCCCTCATTCAGTGGCTGGAAGGATTCACAGGTCAGCACTCGGCTGGCCAAAGCAAGAAGGGTGGACAGCAGTCCCTGTCGCTGACCTTGCTTCACTTGCTGAAAGGTAGGAGCCCTTTTGCAAGATCTGGGGGGGGGGCTGCCTGTCATTTTTCTGAAGTCCTATATTTTAATCTTTGACTCCTTGTTCTGTTCATTGGATTACCTAGCAAATGGACACAGCGCTTTTTATGATACAAAGGAGGAAACGGCGATGTAGTGATAGGACACAGTTATAGAAATGGTGCTGTGGATATTGGCAACGCAAGAGGAGACATCCCGTCTGAAATCTGTAGAAAACAAAATGCAAATTCTGCCATTTGACAATGTCAGGGCAGCCAATGCATTCTAACAGCAGTGGTGTCAAGATTTTCCGCTCTTTAGACCAGTGGTTCTCCACCTGTGGGTCGGGACCCCATTTGGGGTCGAACGACCATTTCACGGGGGTCGCCAAACAAGGCTGTCCGCCATTTTTTCCCCCTTTTCTTTGGCCATGCCCCTGGCACCCAGTGATGTATAAGTGGTTCAGGGTCACCACAACATGGGGAACTGTATTATGGGGTCATGGCATTAGAAAGGTTGAGAACCACTGCTTTAGACTGTTCCGAAGCATATGAGTTTAAAGCATGTTCTTTAGAATCAGAGGCTCCAGGACTGGGAAGGGAATAAGTTCGCTTTTCTGGAGTCCGCATTAACTTTTTGGGCCATTTGTTGTTTTCAGCTTTATCCTGCCAAGAGACAGTGGGGGACGACCTCTTGGATGCAAGCTGCTTGTTGGAGGTTTTAAGGCTGTACCGCTGGCAGATCTCCTCTTTTGAAGAGCAGGTAGTGTTTGGAAAGAAGGGGATGTCGCCTATTGCTCAGCTTCTCAGTATCTACACATAGACAGTCTGGTCTATGATATTGGGCACATAAAAACAGGAGCAAGAATTGCCTTCTCCCCTGTTCATTGCAGTCATTTTTCCTGCTGTTGTTGACCTGGCATTTTAAACTCCCGTCCCTTTTTTTTTTTTTTTGGCTAGGATGCTCATGAACTGTTCCATGTTCTGACTTCTTCACTAGAAGAGGAACGAGATGGTCAGAGCCAGATTCCACATTTATTTGATGTACATTCACTGGAGGTGAGTGAAAGAATAGCTAAGGAGTACAACTAGAATTAGAAGAGGAATCAATCGCCTGTCCTCCACCTGCCTGGGAATTTGCCATCTTGAAGTTTTCAGGATTTATTTTTCAGTAGCGTACATAGGGCTGGGCAGGGGTGAATTTTATCTTTCTTTACATTGTTTAAATCTCCAAGAGAAATAATTCAAATAATCAAAAGTCTTGATATTTCTGGCTTATTTTCATAATACACATTATTTGTTGTTTTTCCTACCTAGGAGCCTGAAATACCTCAAGAACAAATATGCTGCCGAACAAAAGGTTAAAGAAAAAAAAAGCTTTTAACAGGGTTGGCAAATTTATTACACAACAGATTGTGGCAAAAGAATTGTATTTTGTAGGTCCACTTTATCCCTTGCCAAATCGTTGGAAAAGTCAGCATCCTTTTCATGGGAGACTGACAAGTAACATGGTTTGCAAGCACTGCAAGCAACAGGTACGTAAGAAAAATAAGTGCAAGTTTTTGGATCCATTGTGTAGACATATATGATCATTCTGGGATCTACCAGAATGGAAAAGTTACCGTGAAACTGTCGGACTTGGGCAGGGCAACGGAGGTGCTTCTCCATCCTTGCCTGTCTGCTGGGAGGTGGGATAATGTCCAGATGGAACCCAGTGCTCCTTTTTCTTCCAGAGTCCCCTCAGATACGACACCTTTGACAGCCTTTCCTTGAGCATCCCGGCCACTGTGTGGGTAAGTCCGTTTCCTTGGAGGCCCAGAGCGATGCTTTAGGCACCTGCCGGAGTTCTGACTTCCTTCCCCTGTCCACAGGGCCATCCTTTGACGCTGGATCACTGTCTTCGCCACTTCATCTCCTCTGAGTCGGTCAAAGATGTTGTATGTCACAACTGTACCAAAGTAGGTCTTCTGAGTAGCTTGGGATCGTGTGGTGGTGATGTTTCTGTATTTCACCCACCAATTTGCAAATAGGTGTAAAAGTAGGGTCCTCCAAGCCTCATTCCTTTGTGAATCGTGTCTTGAACGCACCAGAACCCCGAACGTCTTTGAATTTTTTTGTTTTTTCCTCTTCTCTAAGATTCAGGCCGAAGGGACAAAGGGCCTCCAAATTATGGAGCACCAGAGAACGACTTTTGTTAAGCAGTTAAAATTAGGAAAGGTAAGAACTGGGGCATTGGAACTGTTGGGGGTTTACTCAGAGGGACAAGGGACCCTCTCTTGCTAAGCGTCCTGCAATCTCCGGAGCAAATACTGTTCTCTGTCTCATTCCATGACAGCAAACATTAGAGGTGGAAGATAGCAATGAGGGGTAGGTGGCTTCCTAAGCCAGATTGGCAAAAAAAGCATTCAGGCCCTTTTTGAAGATGAAGTTACTATTTGTCTGTGAGAGGCTAAATTCCCAATTCACGTTTATTTTTCTCTGCAAGGGCCATCCACCTGTAGCATGTAGAGGATCAACCAGTATCGCAGGCTGACTGAGATATCTGACACTGGGTGGCCCCAAGAATGTCCTAAGAGCTGGGGATTCCCATCTGGGGAAACCCTGGGCTTGTGTTTTGGCTACATTGCACATGGGAATGCCTCGTCCTGCCACCAACAGCCCCATTTCCCTCTCTCCCTCTTGCCTTTCTAGCTCCCTCAGTGTCTTTGCATCCACCTGCAACGGTTGAGTTGGTCTAGCCACGGCTTACCCCTGAAGCGGAATGAGCATGTGCAGTTCAGTGAGTTCCTCATCATGGATCTGTACAAGCAGCACTTTCCCACCCATAAATCCAGCCCCCGGGACGGTCTGCAGGCAGAGCCAGGCTCCAGGGAAGGTAGGAACTCATGGACAGGAGCCCTGCCTGCTCACCTGTATTGGGGATCTTTAGACATCCAGAGTCCGCTTCCTTTTTTTTGTTTTTTACAGGCCTGGAACAAGCAGGGAACAGCAAACCCATTCTCAGCAACGGCACATACTGCACTCCGTGGCTGCCTCCATCCATCGGTTTCCCTTACATGGCTGTTCCTGGCTATGGGTAAGCGAGAACAGGGTGGGCTGCTGCTAGACTTCATCAGAGACGAGAGCAGCCTGTAAAATACTATTTGTCTGCATCTTTCACAGGCTGCTGAGCTTGTCTATGAAACATACGAGTATTGGTTGAGCCTTTGGGTGAAATGCCACCCTATCTTGGCTCAACCCTGCCATAATGGTTCTAGAGGCAGCTCAGCTGTTGTTCCATGAATTTAGGCAATTGCTAGAAAGAGCAGAGTTTGCTAGCTTCTCTTGAGCTGAAAACTGAGATGGGAGGATGGATGTGGATTGGACACCTCTGCCTCTTTTTTCTCTTCGGTAGTTCCCCCGTCTACGTGTACCGCTTAATGGCTGTCGTGGTCCACCATGGGGACATGCACTCAGGGCACTTTGTGACTTTCCGCCGTTCTCCATCCTCTTCCCGGACTCTGCCCTCTGCCGGCAGCCAGTGGCTTTGGGTTTCCGACGATGTGGTGCGCAAGAGCACCTTGCAAGAGGTCCTGTCCTCGAGCGCCTACTTGCTCTTTTACGAGCGCATCTGCTCCAGGCTGCAGCCTCCCAGCCGAGAATTCCAAGCTGAGGAATGATAGAGACCAGGCTCTGTGTGCAGTAGCCGCCGCTCTACCCTGGGGGAAGAACACACCCGGAGGTTTCTGCCCTGGACACCCCAGGATGCAGTGGAGGGGGTGCCTCTCGACAGGAGCCGGCAGACGGTCCTGCCCAAAGATGTGATTTTCATCCATTTCAGAAAAACCTTCATGTGCTCCAGAATACTTTCCGATCCAGGAATTTCAAGTAGAGGCCTCTTAGGTTCTCCTCCCTTGTGGCTTCACCTCTGCTTCCTTTGTGGTGATTGATTTACTGCCAGTCTTTTCACATTTCACACCTGTAGCAGATTCAGTCAAGACAACAATCTGCCAAATCCGGAGGGGAGGGTGAAAAAGTCCTTTTAAGTGCCTTGATTGTATTTTAATTAGCGAGGACCACTCACTTGTGGCTGGTGCGCTGGGATTCCGGGGGAGGCCAGGGGGAGGCCAGCGGAGCAGAGGAAGGAAAGCAGGCGGATATCTTTGTACTGATGAGTCTGTTGTAATTACGTCAGATTTCTTACCAGGCTCTCCTTCAGCAAAAGGAGGATCCCTCTTTCCTATAACTTGCTAATTCTACCACCAGAATTTGCCGATTTAAAATATTTTGTACATAATAAAATTGCTGCTAAAATTCCAAATGTGTTTAGACCCACGTCTGGCTTTGTATATGTGACAGAAACCCTTTTCTCATCTTCCTGCATCAGCTCCTGTGGACTCAAAGCCAGATGACGAGTGTGCTAACGACACAACCTTTGTGTCCTATTAAAGTCAGCAGTCCAACACTGATTACAGAGACAGAGCTTTTCTCCCATAGGAAACAAATAACTTTATTTATTTCAGGGTATGTAAACAAGACACAAAGCAGTAGAGTTTGTGGACCTCAGGCAGGCTGCTGCTTGCAGAGTGATTTCTACTCTGGAAGTTTGCTTGAATGGAAATGAGTGGGGCAAAGTATAAATAGGCCCTGGGAATACACAGGCCCCTCCTTAGCTCCAAGCTGGGGGGGAGGGGGTTCCCCACCCAGAAGCAGGCCTGCATTTGGAGGGGCCTCAGCGTAGAGACACTTTCCTTGACAAGACAGTAACGTCTCCCCACTACTTAGAGAAGCGCCATGGATCTTGATCAACTCCTTAAGGAGCAAGCAGATTGAGATGTTCCAAACATGCGCTGAGCCAAAGATTAGGTTTGTGCAGCACACTTTCCTATAGTTAACTGAAGTCTGGTTTGTTCAGTTAACCCTATTTTCTTGGTTCACAGGATACACTGTGCCACAGGCCAGGTTCACACAGCCAGGGGCTGCATCAAGTTGTCCAAGTAGAGCCTGTGACTAAAATAGCTCAGTTTTGAGTCCAGATAGGTTCCAAAAAAAGGGAGCTGTAAACCCATGCTGCAACCTGTGTGAAATAAGGAGGTTCCTTCAAGCATCCAAAAGGGTAGAAAGACGCTCACCCCTGCTCCGTTCCTGGGAGCTAAAGAGTCCTAATTTTCCGAAAGGTCAGATTGATTCTGGGCGCCAGCACTTTCTTGCGGATGGGCAGGCTGTGGTACCAGTAGTGATTGGTGGGGAAGTTCATCACCAGCAGACTTCCATGATCCAACTGCAACTTGACTGGTGCGATTCGTCGGGAGGGGTTTTTGCCCCGAGAAGCTCCATGACGGAGGATGAAGTCCCTGCTGGCACCGAAGGACACAGAGGCAATGGGGCTGCGAGGAAGCAACTCCCTCTCGTCGTCTCTATGCTCTCCAATGTGGTCGTGGCCATCTTTATACCTGCAGAGGCACAAGAAAGATCTTGGATCCGTCTGCTGGGCAATACAGCAGGGCAGCTAGAAACGGCCCAAGCCCCATAGGTCAGATTGATGGTGTTTCCTACTGTCTGAAACACCCTGGGGAATTACCTGTTTATCAAAACAAAGTTGAAGGTGTGCCCAGTGGCAAGCTGGACACGGTCCCTGATGCGATTCAGAACTGGAATCCAGGGCTTGGGAGAAAAGGTGACACCAGAATAAGTGTAGGTGAGCCCAGCATCCCCGTAGGTCACCTGCTTCCTCGGGATGTCGTGCCATTTCCCAAAGATGTGCAGCTTGGTGAATTCACCTGTTTGGGGAAGAAAAAGCAGAACTGCCAATTCTGCTGCAAATAATGGTTAGGGTTCACTTACAGATTTAAACCCCAGAGGCTTCTCAGGAGGGAGAAGAATCAGTAAGGGAGAAACAGCTTCTGTGGCCCCCTTCCAAGCCGAGGTCAAGAAAGAGAGCAGGGATTATTATTTCCTGCTGCTCCAGGTGGCCCCCCCAGCCCTACAAAGGACCAGCCAGGTGCCTGGAGCCGCCTTCACCTTCGAAGTACTCCACCTCCTTTTCCAGCTGCTGGAAGGCCTCGTCCGCCTGGACTCTGCCGTAGAGGACGGTGTAGTCACAGCTGAGCCCCTCGGCCCGGATTTCCTTCCACGGCCCGCCTGGCAAGGGGGGCACCTCTTGCTTAGCCCTCTCCGCCTTCTCCAGGCTGCCATGCCGGGCAGGGCCTGCCTCCCCCTCTGTGGCCCTGGGCCCCGGGGCCTCCTCTGAGCTGGGGGCAGGGCCTGCTGGGAAAAGGAATTTCTTCATTGCTGACTTCGGGCAAAAGAGGGGGGAGAAGAGGGGCAGCCCGCCCTGCACCCCCTGGCAGCGGAAGGGCCCCGGGGCCTCTTTGCAAGGCTTTCCTGCAGCAGCTCCTTTACCGACCACGGGAGCAATCCCGGCAATAATGGCTAACGCTCCCCCCAACTCCCTCCCCCCCCATCGGCCTCTCAGAGCCGCTAAGGCTGGGCGGGCCAGCAGGGAAAACCTTGCGGGCGCCCGCGGGCGCCAGCGCTACCCAAGTGCTCCTTCCTCTTAATTCAGGGGCGAAGCGGGCAGGTAGGGAAGGTGCCTTGGCGCAGCACGGAGGCCAGGGGCCCCTCCCTCCTCCCGGACCGCTCGCCAAGAAGAGCCGCCGCCTCCGGAGCGGGTTGCAGCAGCACCCGCCGCCCGAAAGTCCGGTTCCCGGTTCGATGGGGTGCCCAGGGCGCATGCGCCTAGCGCGCCGACATTTTGCTCAGGGATTTCTCCCTGGTCAAGACAGCGCGCGTGCGCGGATTGACCGGGGGGGAGGGCGGTCCTTGGCCGCGCGTGCCCAGCAGTTTCGCGCCAATTTTTTTCGGGGGAGATTCCAGAGCTCTGCCGCGGCGACCGCTCCCGACCTGCAGCGCCCCATTGCCCCTGCGAGCGGTGCCACCATGATCGGGCAAAAGTCTCTGTTCTCCTTTTTCACGGAGGCGCCCGGCAAGAAGAGGACTCGCTCTCCGGAGTCAGCCGCGGCAACTGAGGTACTTTCTTTGGGGGGGAGTTATTGGGAAGAACCTTATTAATAATAATAATATAATTATTATATATAATAATAATAATATTAATGCTTTATTAATAGAGCGGGAGGCAGTCTGGTGATTTGGAGGGAAGAAGTGGGGCATGTTTTCACTTACCACGTTCTAAAGATAAAAGTTGCTGCCTGAGGTGCTGACCAATGAGAAGCCTCCGAAGGCTTTTGGCGGGAGGGATGTTGGTGGACGCTTACGGTCACGTGATCCTGTAAACCAATGAGAATCCATGTTTAGCAATCCAAGAAGGGGGCGGATCTTAGCTCAAAATGTTGCTCCCGATTGGTCACAAGGCAATGCAATTAGAGGACGAGGCGGGCCAAGGAAAAAAGGAAGCAATGGACGTAGACCAATAGGGTAAGGCGAAGGGGCGGTGTCTTCAGGCTAATGAGCTTGGGCGGCACGCTGGGTTTGTTTTTCCCGCGAAATGTGTACGTGTTTCTGCTGGCCGGAAGTGCCGGATAGGCGGCTGCGGTTGCGTCGGCTCCATGGCAGCGGCCTCGGGAATGTGGTGGTCTCCCCGCTGCCTCTTCCCTGCTTCCCCGCCCCCGCCCCCGCTCCTGACCCGTTCCTTTTCCCTCTTGCAGGCCGCCAAAAGATCGAAGATTGATGGCTGCTCGCCGCGATCTCCCCCACTTAGCCCGGAACTGGTGGAGCGCATCCGCAAAAACAAAGAGGCGGCGCTGCAGAGGCTCGCAGCCCGCACCGCCCGCTACATTCCCGCGGAGCTGGGGCAGAGCTGGAAGGTCTCCCTGGCCAAAGAGTTCTCCAAACCGTATTTTGCTCAGGTGGGCGAGAAGCCAGGACTTTTGCGAAGGGATCAGGTCCCCCCCCATCCCCATTTTCTTGGCTCTGAGGCCTTAGTCCAACTAATTAAAGAGACGCGGTGCTTAGTTTGTTATGACCTTTAGTTGAGCTCCAGGTCATTTTTTCTCTTTATATAGCTGATGGCATTTGTTGCTGAAGAACGCAAGCGTTGTACAGTTTATCCACCCGAGCATCAGGTCTTCACTTGGACCCAGCTGTGTGACATCCATGATGTAAGTCAACCTGTTGCAATTAGTCTGTATTTATCTTCTTGTTCCTTTACAAATGGGTGGTGGTATCTTTGTTTGGGTGTTTACCCTTGGTTATTAGCTGGGTTCGCCTGACACAGGTAGCCATTGTGATTTTTTTTTTCAGTCATTCATGTTTAAGTAAACCCTACCTTAATGCAACTCAGCTTTGAAACTCATAATGCCTGTCACCCTCTGTATTTTACGTAATGCGATTTGCTGCCTTTTTGGAATACTAGTAAGAAAAAGCATTTTCTGTCTCATCAAGTAGAAGCATAAATCTAAACAAAAATGATGTGAGAACAGAAATAACGAATGTGGAGTGTTTTGAGTATTTTCTGCTCTTGCTTTCAGGTGAAAGTTGTCATTTTGGGCCAAGATCCATATCACGGGCCCAATCAAGCTCACGGGCTCTGCTTCAGCGTCCAGAGACCGGTTCCCCCTCCGCCCAGGTAGGCTCAGCTGTGGCCATGTTCTGTTAGGTTCAGGGGTGCCATGTTGTTATAGCATTCTTTGGAACAGTTGACTGTGGAGTCTACATTGTGAGAAAACATAGAGTGTCTGAGACTTAGGAGGAAAAAACTTGTTTTTTTTTGTAGCCTGGAAAATATTTACAAAGAGCTTGCTGCGGATATAGAAGGCTTTTCTCATCCTGGCCATGGAGATTTGACTGGATGGGCTAAACAAGGTGACCCAATGTCATTTTTTCCCCAATTGCTTTCATGCTTTTGACTGTGCTGCATTCATGCTTCAACTGCTAGAGTTACCCAGCCTTTGTAACCAATCTTAAAATTGAAGGTTGCGTATCCAGACTGGTTGAGGTGTCTCCCCTAAATAGGTTTTTTTTTCTAACCTCTCACAATTGTGTTTCTCATCAAGCAACACAAGTAATCAAATCAATTGCAATCTTTCAAATTAGGCTTGTAGCAAAATCTATAATAGTGAAAAAAATGCAATTATTGTATTGAGGGACTGTAATTGAAATTGTACAAAATTATGCTTGAAAGCCATGTTTTCTCATTAACTGGGAGAAGAAATAGTTCTCAGTCCGCTCTTCTGTCCCATCAACTTTGGATGGGCATATAAAGTGACATTGATTATCTAGCTTTGGTGGGAGCAAAAATGACTTTATTCCAGGGTTCCTACCAATGGCATCCTTTTTTCTTTCTTTAACAATGTAGGTGTGCTGCTGCTTAATGCTGTCCTCACCGTCCGAGCTCATCAAGCCAATTCCCACCGGGAGAGGGGCTGGGAGCAGCTCACAGACGCTGTGGTCACCTGGCTGAACGAGAACCTGGACGGCCTGGTTTTCATACTGTGGGGAGCTTATGCTCAGAAGAAGGGCAGCTCCATTGACAGGGTAGGTTGGCTTCTGACAGCACTGCTGTTTGCATGCAACTTTAAAAGGGGATTTGAGTGAGCTACCCACACTTAACCCTCATGCGGTTTGCTTGCAGTAAATTATGAACCTATCCGTGCTTTGCTCCTTACCACGGTAGGAGAGCCCAGAGAGCTTGTCTACCAAATGAGGATTAAAACCAAACCTTTGCACGGTGGATGAATCTAGACAATGAAACTATTCAATTTTTAAAAGTCAACCCACCTTCTAACTCAATAGATGTAGAAATGTGGCCTGCTTGTAGGATCTCTTTGCTTAATTCTGGCCACGGGACAGTCGGGATACTTCGGGCTCTGCTAACCTTTTACTCTATGCCTTTAAGTCAGTCCGGTTCTCCAATTGTGGGGCTGGGCAGTCTAACGCCTCTGGCTTCTTGCAGAAACGGCATCACATCCTGCAGACAGCACATCCCTCGCCCCTCTCGGTGCACAGGGGGTTCTTTGGCTGTAGGCATTTCTCCAAAACGAATGAATTCCTGAAGAAATCCGGGAAGCAGCTGATCGACTGGAAGGCCCTGTAAGGATCCCACAACTCCCTGGAGACCATAAGACCAGCCCTTTTTGTCCCCGTCAGGCTGGAGAGGCTTTGCGGAAATATTCTTGGAAGCTGAATAGCTAAACTATTCTTTTCACTTTTAATTCAGGGGCAACCTGAGTCAAGGTGCTTACTCCAAGCATATAATTTTTTTTTTATTTTGGAGCAAAGGGAGATTAGCAAAGGAGCCCTGCCCTGTTTTTCTTTGAATTCTTTATCGCTATCAAGAACATCGTGCCAATCTGTTCTTTGAAATAATAGCCTCAGGATTTTTGTTCTTCATTTCTCTCTCTTATGCTCTCTTATGCTTCTCAAAGGAAAATGGAGATATTGACAGCCAACAAGGTGCCTGTCATTCAGGAAGCTGCTTATTTCATCCAAGCTGATGCCTGGTCTTCATTATCTCAGCGTGTCTTTTTTTTAATCTGCCAACAGTTTAAGACTTTCAAGAGGTGCTATGAAAAATAATTTTTAGTTTTTTGACTTGCAGGAAGTGGATCAACAATCTGAAAGTATTCCATTTTGGGGATCAGATTTAAAAGTGTTGCCAGAATTCTGTGAGAAATATTACTGAAGTCATGGGAAGGAGAGCTGCAGTTGGTCAAAAATTATGGGCCGAAAATTTCCTAGGAAACTAGTTTGTGTTCGGAGTTTGTGTTCGCATGAGGGCTAAGTGGCCTGCGAGGCATCGGACTTATGTTGCAATCAGTCCCTCTGTGCGAAAGCAGGTTCTGGTGCCAGCCTCAGGTGTTTCACTTCTGCCAAACTCAGGTGCCCAGGTGTGGCCGTGGCCAAAGGGCTCGCTTATGGGTTCTCCCTATAGGAGCCGTTGCTGAACGCCCATCAACTTCTGTTTGTGAGAAGAAGCCTTTGGTCTTGTTCTATGCAAATTGCATAGGGAGAATTTCCAGCTGGTATATTTAAATACCAATTTAAGACTTTTTTTTTTACTCTTTCTTGTAACACTAGTTCCCTATGTTGACTTGTTCTAAAGTTTTCAAATAAATGTTTCTGATACGTTTCTGATATTTACTTGAAGCCCGTGCTGCCTATCTTCAAAAGATTACTTCCTTTAAAGGGGATTGTAGGGAAATGTTCCTTTGCATATACCGGTTTCTAAGGCGGGGGGGGAGGTTGGGGGGGGCAAAAACACTGCCAGACCTGCCCAGGAGGGAGGGGGGTTGCCTTGCAGCAGGCAGGGCTGCCAGGAGACGGATGCCCAATGGTAGGGAGGGGGGGTGGGATGGAGAGGGGGGGCAGCTCTCGGCCAACGGAGCTTTTAAGCCCTTGAAGAGCCAGGTGCGCTATTGGTTGTGTCCCCGTGGGGGTGGGGGGTTCAGGGCCGCGTAGGATGGACTTTGCAGTACTTGCAATATGGGTCTTTAACCCAGAGGCCACGTTCGGCCGACAGCATTCCTGCGTTTCCAAATGCCCCTGGAGGCTCCCGGCTGCGCTCGAGCCCGGGAACCAGCGACCCCCGCGGCTCGGAAATCCCGCGCGGGGGACCTCTCGGGCTGCTCCGGTTGCCGGTCCCCGGAGAGGGAAGGGGCGGGCGCTGCGAGGCTTTGCGCGTGGAGCGGAGTTGCCCGCGGGGACGAGCAAGGAGCCCGCCGGCTGCTCTGAGCGGCTTTTCTAGGGACGGGCGGCGTTCCCTCCTGGGCAGGTCTGTTTTCTCGGGGAGGGGGCCGAGGCTGGGCTCCCAGCCTTCGGGTCTTCCTGTAGCTTCTGCCCGGACGAGCCCCGGACACGGCGCCCGCGCCTTGCTCGGCTCCACTTTTGAATACTGCAAAAATCAGGCACACAAGGACGGTTCCCTTCAAACTGTACATAAATGCGCGCATGTGTGGTTTGTTTGCAAAGGAAAAGATAATCTTAACGCACAGTGCTTCCAGTCCACTTTTATTTTGTTTCGATTTATCTTTGCCAGCAGCAAACGCATCTTTGGGAGATGCTAGAAGCTGTTAGGGATTTTAGAGCTATGTGTGGTATCCAGCAACCTTTGGAGGCGTACAGCAGTTGTCAGTTTTTATACTGGCAAGTGAACTTTACCCCAGTTAAAGAAACTGCCCTATTCGGCAGACACCAGAATGCCTGGAGCGGTGCCACTTGGCACCGGCTGCTCCAGTCTCCCAGGGCCAAGAAAGAAATTTCCATACAAACATAACACAAGGGTGCGATCTTCTTTCAGGCTGGGAAGCGTTGAATTCGGGTGTGCTCAGTTTTGAGTGGATTTAAGGTTGAGATGTAAGTAGCACAAAAGCCAAAATATTTATGAGGTGGTGCACCAGCAAAGAGAGAACTTGTTTTGAGCTGCTTTTTCTAACGTTTTGAGCTTGCACTTTGTCTCAGGCAGAAGGCTTTACATCAGTTTGCTGGCTGTAATAAAGTTGATTTAGTTATTATTTATTAGTAAGTTTCTACTCATGAAGACTTTGCATGTATTATTGGTGACTGCATTTTGTTTGTTAGAGGCAGAACTACCGATCTGCTAATTTGCTCAGCACTAATGATGTTAACATGCAAATAATTGTGTGTGTTGCGTGGTTGTCTATGTCCAGGCAGGATCCAGTTAATCTAACATTCCTGGACTTGCAGCTGCTGAGGAGCAGTAGCTAATTCGCTTGTCAGAAAGTGAGTTTTTGTAGAAAGTGTATTAATGGACTAGAGAAAGCTGGAAAAGAGGGCAGTTTTAATTAGTTAAAGCAGCTTTAGATAATTCATTAGATGCTTTGCATGATTTCAGTCCCTTAAAATGTTGATTGTTGGTTGTAGTTACAAAAGTGGTTGTTGTTGTTGATCCCTCGGCCGGTAGGAGAAAGGTCACTTTCCTAGATGTTGGAATGTTGGAATTGCAGGCAAGGGTCTTTCAGGGTGGAGGGAGGGTCTCGCCAAAAGGGGCTGGCTTCTGGTGGGCCAAGGGCCGGGGCGTTCCTCCTCTTCACTTTGGGGGTCTTGGGGCAGGACCGCAGCCAACCCAGATGCTGCTAGTGGAGGGTAAAAATAGCAAGCTCCTTTATAGCTCAGGCAGAGGAGCTGCCTGGGCAGCCAGAATCCGGGCCTTGGAGAAGGGGGGGGGATGAGGTGGACCTTCTGAAGCTCTGAGCATTGAGGTGCGTTTGAGTCCGCAGCTTAAGAGGCAGAGGAGTGACTTCATATAATTGTGTGACTTCATAATTGTGTGGGAGCCTAACTCGCTCCATTTCTACCCATGGCCTCTTTACTCAGCAGCAAAATCCCACTCTTGAGTTGTGAAAGTATTGATGTTTGAGCCCCTGAAAGCTCGTGATGGATGCATTATTGAAAAGGTTAGTATATGTCTGAGCAATTGGCCGCAAGCCAGGAGAGTCGGGCTTGCCCTTCTGCTTGTTAGGTGCGTCACACGGTGCCCCTTCTCCAGGGTCCAAGCGGTCTCGTGCAGTTTGAGGGAGGGGCATCCCCTTCTCTTCTACAAAGTTGCCGCCCTCTCAGGTCCAAGGCCCCAATTCCGAGTCCCCAAACTCCCCGTGCGCCCAAGTATTCCTTCCCCCACTGAGTGTTGCTATTCTCTTGTTTTCAGGATTCCTGAATGGTTCTGCTAGCGCTCGTGGCCTTGTTGCTTGGACTGTGGCTGGTCTGGACCATGATGGCCAACAATCCTCTACTTGGTTTAAAAAAAGCGAAGCTTGAGCAGCCTGTCCCAGAGCAGCTGACCACTCCCAAAGTCCAGCAGCTGCCTTCCAGCGGGTTCCTTCCACAGTTCCCGGTGGATGGGAGGGAAGCGGTGTCTTCAGAGCCCAGCCAGGCCCCTGCAAGCCCATCGCACCAGCCCCTTCCAGGCCCCCAGGCGTCCACCGACCCCTCCTGCCAACTCAAGCCCCCCATTCCTCGCTCTTCCTCCGACTGCGTGCTGTCTCCGGCTGCCGATTCCTCCAGGCCTTTGAGCCGGTTTGTCCGATCGTCCTCAACGCAGCTCTTGAAGCAGATGCACTCCCTGTCCTTTGAAGAGCAGGCCGCCAGTCCTGCCCAGAGGAAGCAGCAGGCCATGGCCAAGTTTGTGCTGGGCTCCTTCGAAGACAATTCTTCCGATGAGGAGCTTGTAGCCGGAGGAGCCTTTCCGAGGAGCAGGAGGAGACGGAGAAGCCTGGCCTGTCCCGGTTCATCCTCCTCCGCGGACTCAGATGCGAGCATCGTCATGAGGTAGGCGACATGGCGTGGCTGGTTCGGCCTCTCTGCCCCAGCCCTTCGGGAGGAGCCAATCCAGGGAGGGTCAAGGCGGGCCCTGTCTTGTTTTCCCAACATTTGGTTAAGTGTGACTTATTTCAGGAGACTTTTGGATTGAAGCTTCTGTTCTGCAGTCCCCTTTTTAGTAGCCACATTTTAACCATTTTTGTTTGTTTGTTTTCAGTATTTGTATCATTGCCATTCAAACTTATTTCCTATTTATTTATAAAGAGTGGTTGACTGCTTCTGCGTACAAGTTGAAAACCTGTCAGAATGCACGATGTCATGAATTAAAAGGCAACGTGTATAACTCTGAAAGATAGATTGGTGCAATACGGTTTGAGTTTGATAGGCAAAACAGTCCCTGCAAGTTTCAGCAGCCAGAATATCCTGATATGATATTCAAAGGAATATGCCAGCTCCTCTCAGGTAAATGCACACCAAGCTACATTGGTCTCAGGTTAAGCTGCCTTAAATGCAGTGGGGTGCCTTTAGTATTTGCCCCGTGGCTTCTTGGCACATTGTTCTAAAAATGCAAGTGGTTGAACTTGGGAGTTTTCTACTGCGCTGGAGAAAAGGAGCAAGTAGTGCTCAGGAAGATGGAACTCCATGAATTCTGTGACTGTCTGATAACATGCTTTAAAAAAACAATGGAAAAGCTTATCTATCTGTGTCATTTCTCCTGGTTGACTCAGTAATCTGAACAAACCCCATTTTGGCTTCTGTCCTAATGTGTTAGATTTACCCCCACGTGCTCTTTTACTCTCTTTCAAGTATTACAGACGTCCCATATTTGGTGTATTAAAGCCAGAAAGTGGCTCTGCCGGGACAGTCACTCTATCTGCAGCAATTGTGTTTAGGTTTGCTGAAGTCCTGGGCCAAAATGTCCGGGCACCAGTCTGAGGAAAAGTGGTAGAAGGTCTCGACCTCTCTCGCTGGATGGGGAGGGAAATCTTCAGCCCGGCTCTTGGATCTGCAGTTCTTTGTGCAGGCATTAAGGACTTAACAGTGATTGGTCTTGGGATGAAAACCAGAACAGCCTGGTATTTCCCTCTCTGAGAAATACTCCCAACCCTTTTATAAATGGCTTTTTGAAGTCTGGGAATCGATGTGCAAACTGATATCTGATATCGTGAGATCCCCGGAAGCCATAAGTCCTTGAGATGGGAGTGCAGAGAAATATTGGCTGGTTCTTTCCATTGTAGATATATTCTGTCCCTTTCACGCCCACCGCATACTATTTTATGTGTTGATATCTTCCTTTTTCACTTTCCTTAAAGGCCTTTGCCTGTACAACCAGGGCATAAAATACAAAGAAAACAGATCAGTTGCTGATGCTGTTGCAGTGCTGATAATGAATGTTTATCAGCCGTCTGAGCGCCAGAAGCTGCTTGGGATCAAGGGCCAAGGATAGTTTTTCAGTTGATAACTCAGGGGTCTGGAGACCGAAGTATTGTTGTTTTTATGGTCTGTCACACAGCCGGCCAGATATTTTTTCTCCCTTGAGCCACCTGGGGGTGCTGCTGGAGAGCTGTCGCCCACGGGGAAGGGAAAGCCAAGAGGGGGGGGGGGAGTCACAGAAATGGAGGAGGAGGAAGAGGCAGCAGGGCTGGCCTCCGACTCTGTTCCTGCCTGCCTCTCTGGGGGTCCCAAAGCCGCAGAAGAGGAGAGGAAGAAGCAGCAGACCGGAACTGGGCGCAGCAGCCTGGAGGTCAGTACCGGCCAGCAGGATTCTGACTTGCTTTGGGTCTGGGCGGCTGAAGCCTCCAATCTGCTCAGCAGCATAAGAGGAAAGGAGAAAGGGGGCAGCTTAAGATAACCACACAAT